GAATAGTCTATATTATGATTGGCCATTAGGAGAACTTTTAATAAAATCTGAGGCGAAATATTACTTTAGATTTAAACATTTGTGTTCACTTACCGAAACATAAATATGAATTTCGATATCGACACATTCATCACAGCTTTTTCAACAGAAAAAGTACCCGTGCCAATCCTATGTCGTTCGGGCTTGCAGACCCTGTATGACTCGTTTGGTTTCTTAATCATTGAAAATCGAACTACATTTTCAGTATTCATTCAATACTTTCTTGAGAGGTAGAAAAATCTAATGAAAAGTGAAGTGACAATAATAGAATAATAATGCTTATGAAATATTGTAATTTGCTACCAACTTGATATGCAACGTTAAGATCAATCGATAAATTTTTGAGTTTACTCGAGCTCGGACCACTAATACGGATTCATTCACTAGTAACATAAGACCACCTATTAACTTGAGTGAAATCTACTTTCGTCAAAAAGGAAAAACGTCGAGAATAAATGGAGAAGATAAGTAAAGGTGAGATTAGAGTGCAGATTCTTCACCTTTGGATCATTTGGCGTAAGTTTAGCAGATCCTGACGATCGACACTCACTTTCTCGAAACTCAAAGAATTAGCCTCAATATGAAAGCAAATAGCATTTTAATCAGCACTTTCAGAAGGTTGTTCAAACTTGTAAGTGTGCTCTTCTCTATGATATATATATATATAACACTTTCGCGTAACAAAACAAAAATTTATAGAGTGAGGCAGAACTTTCTTCTGTGACGGCAAAGATATATCCTTTGTCTTAATTATGTTTGTAAGATATGCATCCTTTTATTAAGCTCGTGTCTATAAAAGCAGTAGATAGCAGCACGCTAAGCAGAAAAATAAAGAAAAATCATTCTGACATATCCGACTGTTTTTAAAACGGCGGAGTTAACATGCACGATTGCAAATGCGAAACGATGCGTATATATCACGGATAATGCTGTCAAAGCAAAGAATCATTCGAGCGTATGATTCGGCAATGAATTCAGACCATACTGTAGTCCAATGAGCTGAATTATACAAGCGAAAAGATGCACTAATTCATGGCTGAATGATTCACTACTCTCACAGGCTTGGAATCCAATTGTTGTTGTCGACTTGTTCCAACTTGATTAATTGCCGGCCGACACGAAAATACCTTCTTCATCCATTTGTTCAGCTCAGGAAAGAATGCGAGAGATACCCAAGGAAGGAAAACATATTCTACGTCGATAAGATCAAAAAGGTAATCCATTTGAATCTCAAGAAGAAACATTGGGTCGTAAAGCATTTGAACAAGCATAATGATAACACCCGGCATCCATGCTACGAAGAATAGACCCGATAAGCAAAACAGTTGTAATATCATCCGTCGTTGTTGTCGCCATGCTACCGATTGTTGTAAACGTCGCTTCTGTCTTGCTACTCGTATGATTAAGATAACATTCGCAGTAATATCAATAATGACAGGTGTCGCGCTATTAACCAGCATGTCGAATGTACCCAGTACTTTATCAAATGCAAAATAGCAATCAGCGAACCCACACCCATTGTTCGTATAATCCCATTGAGTTCCATCGCATGGGTAAAGTATAATGGCGAACAGATAGAATAAAACCGGATAAATGAGACAAAGAATGAGTGGTAGATCATGTAGTAGTGTTCGCATCCAAGGTTTCTTCAGGAAAGGTCCATTAAAAATGAGCATGTGTCGTTGAACAGAAATTGCAGCCAACAAAAATGCACTGCTTACGAAGCTAGTGTATTCGAAAGCCGTCCACCATGTACAATAGATTGGCGAAGCTGGACTAATGTAACCAAGAAGATAGAAGTGAAGTGTGAGTGGCATACTAAATGATAGTCGACAGAAGTTGACTATGAGCAGAAGAAGTAGTGCAAAGTTTTGAGGAACTTTCAAAGCATGGTAATGCTTAGTGAAGAAGGCGAAAATAAAAATCGAAACAGCAATGGCTGGAACGAGAAAGACGAGAATGATCCAAAATTTAGTGTGAAAGATGTGAAGTCTCGCATTGTCTAATGTGGTTGTATCCGTAGAATTCATCATTGACGTGGTGAAAAGACAGAATGATTCCGAGTATGCGAATGCTTCGCGATTCACCTCCTCACTTTCTGCTTGAAGACACTTTTAAAAAGAATTAACGGATGTGACAGAAAGAATCACACTATTTTGATTTCACTTAAACTCAGTTAGTTTTTTAAATTTATGCTATAACTGTGATCCTAAGATCCTAACAGTACTATAGATGTGAAGTGAAATAAGAAGAATAAGGCAATCACCTAGAGAATGAACATAGAATAATATAGAGAACCAGCAAAGAAAAACAATAGAAAAAACTAAAGAACGGATACATATATATGATCAGCGAAACGAAAAAAACCAGCAAAAAACGAGAGACGTACACACTCAAAAAGAAAAAAAAATGAAAACAGATCAATTTATATCAAATCGGATACAAATCAATCTGCTACTCTCAACTTTCACTTTTCAGTAATCGATTATTAGTCGATGCTTTTTTAATGAATTAATTAGTTTTGCTTTAATAAACTAGACGGTATTCGAGTTTCACTCAAATACGAAATGCGGTGCGAAGCACGATATGAGTATATCCAAAAAAAAAGGTATATTTTGTAGATGCTCAAAGATCGTTTTGACGATCTTTCATATAACAAATATGTTTTGAAGATTTTATCGCTTTAAAGAAATAAGTCTTATTGGTATGACGTTTGAAAATTTACATTTTTAGCAAGGAGCTAATCACAAGAAGAAACTTAAAAATTATCACATAGACTAGTACATGTTGTAAATCATCGTTCATTCGGAATTACTGAGTTCCAATTAGAATCGTATTGATTAATGATCTCTTTGAATGAGTGCAATACGATTTGATATTCGAGATTTGTTGATCAAATTAATAAATAACTTTCTTTTTTTTAAGCTTGTCTTTTGTCACATATCTAATTATTGTTTTAAATTATATGTTTATGGCACCAGTTATGATTTATTAGCTGGCGAATTTTTCTTTCTGTTTATTCGTTCGTTAGATAATTAAATGGCTTTTTAACAGGATCTAGAAATGTAAAAAAAAATAGAATATTTAGCGTGATTTGTTATACACTAAGACCTCAAACACACGAGGCGAATTAAAAGTGTATTTACAACTATGATTATTGTAAAAGGACGCGGGACGTTAACAGCCGAAATCGGCCCCCTGTCCAAACACGACTTTTTCGTTTTCATTATGCTAGTTTTGACGCTGCATCGACATTTTGAGCCAAATTTTATCATTATATCAAATCTAGACAACATCTGCATTACTTTTTCTATTGCACTAAAATCCACTGTATTTCCCTTGGGGAGCCGATCATTTTGATAAAATATTTCAGTTATCATAGTTACTACTTATTTTAATTTACCCGTCAGATTGTAGCCCTTTTCACGCTCTCTCTGATGGTATGTCAACATATGAGAAAAACTACTGAATTCAATTTGGCACCGTCGGCATATCATACAAAAGTTCTAGAAAAGGTGAATACCGATGTTGATACTTCTCGCGAAAGACTCAGGTGATAATGTCGGTCCACGCTTATTTATATATCATTCGATAGAGAATTTCGAGATCTATCAAATGATTATAAAAAATGTTGGAAAATGAGTGGGTAACGATAAAATGATCTTTGACCTACTGTACATGCATGTAAAAAAAATATCATTTTTGCTCATGACGAGTCTGATGCGGTCGACAGAAAAACGTCGGTCCACCCTTATTTATATATCATTCGATAGAGAATTTCGAGATCTATTAAATGATTATAAAATATATACAAACAGTATGCAGAAAGACAGTTTCGTTTTTTTTATTGAGAATTTTGTACTTGTCGTTTTTTCTCCTTGGTTCGATATTCTAATTTGTATTTACGTATATTGGTGTTAGTAGCATAGATGAATATAGGGATTTTTGTTTTTATGCAGTATACGTTTTTTTCAATTGAAGGACATTTGTTGACAACATTACTTTATTGCGAGATGCATGTACTATTGACTGTTTAGTGTTTTGCTCTACTAATTGAGTCATACTTGGTAGAAAGAAAAAGTTTCATGATGCATTTCTTTATATAGTAATGTTTAGTTATCCAGTCATATATGAACTAATCGCGACGTAAGGCAGACATTTCATCTAAGGTCACTGTCTTAGTGTGTATCCCTATTGTGAACGTTTAATACACAAACGGTTATAATGAATGAACGTTGTTGCCCGTGTGGTGCTCGTCTTGATCGCAGTTCTTGTGTCCGACCACTGAAGTCACCATGCCTCAGAATGTTTATGTCTATTCTGGAAGCCGCTAACCGTCGTCTCAAATAATTTAAGGACTTTGGAAATACCATTCAAAACTCGTCCCTAGTGTACTTAGAATCTGACATGTCAATTTTTTGCGCTTTCATCAATCATTATCAACCACTTATGACAAGATCTAAACTGGAAGATGAAGAGATAGGTGTATAAATAATGCAATTACGCCAACAAAAAATTTTTAATTCAACTCGCAATTATTTTTAGCATAACTTTTTCTGCGACTTGTATCATGTCCTTATTTAGCTCTTAGAAGAAAATACTCTAATCAGGCGGTTTTCTCTATGGGAGATAATTAATCATACCGAAATCATAGATGGTTTTCCTATTATGACACAAGACGATCTAGGAGATCTCACTTTCGGTAATAAATGTTTATTTAATTTCTCACAACTATATATTTTTATAGGTGTTTTTCAATTGAAACGAGCACATTCTTATGCTGAGGAACACTGTTCAACTACCAATCTAACCAGTGACGTGGCTTACAGGGTGTGTGGGTGTGGGTGAGGATAACCATAATAGTCCAGCCACATTCACACACCCATCGAAAAATATGGATCCGTTCAGGAGTTATAGCATTGTAAATTTTACAAAAAAAAAAATTTCTTTGTTTCAAAAATTCAAAATGCTATAACTCCTGAACGAATCCATATTTTTCGATGAAATTTGAAATCTGTCGATGAAATTCGACCTAGATTACGATAACATTATGAAAATCCCAGTATCACTGAAACCCAAAAAACGTTTGGGTGGGGCAATAAAAAACTATTTTTTTTCGCAAACTTCAATCACAAAAATGTTTCGATAAAAAGTCATCATATGGATCCCGTATCATCTTTCACAAGTTTCATCGGGATCCCATGCTCTGAAGCTGAGATACACCATGATCGAAAATCACCGGCCCGCCAGTGACCAGTTACGTTTATAAAGTAATGTCGAATGAATGAGCTATCCACTAAAGACTATTTAACATCAATAACAATGATTAACAAAAGTTAACCGTCGATTTCAAACTAACTTAAAATGTCCCACTTTAAGATTCTCGTATTCTCGTAAACTGTTCATATGAGAATTCAACAATATCTTGTGAGATGAGATTGGGTCTATATAGATATGATTTCAATTTGTAGCTCATACTGACATCCTCATCCACAGCATGAAAATAGTTATTGGGTGAATGTTGATTTTCTCATGAAAAAATTTAAAATTTAAAATTCAACGATATATGATAGTTTTTATACGTTAGTGAGTTAATTAACGGTAAATTAACGGTTAACTAAAAACCGTTAACGTTAATATTACGGTTAACGGCTTTAGTTAACGTTTATTTTAAATTAACGTAAAAGTACCATCCCTAATTGACATAAGGTAAATGATAACACGAATGTTACTTCCAGGACACTGGCTCCCAGAATAATTCAGAGTGTGAATGAAGATTCAGACATTGGATTTTGGTTGTGACTACGACTTGGTCTGGGTCTCCGGAACAAATGTTGTTGGGGAGAAAGTATGACAGCATCATTCATGAAATCCTAAACTTGACGTTTTACTTTATTATCTCTCTCGCAAATTAACAAAAGCATAGTTCTAGAGAAAAAAAGGATTTTACGAAATTTATTTTTGTTTATTGGCTTGTTGAATATGTCCTTCGAATTTTTCTTTTGATTCCAGAAGGCGCTTGAGAGCTGCTTCAAGTATTTGTATGTGTCTGTTTGCAGACATGTGTGGTAAATTTTCGAGTAGAACTCCTGTTTTTTTCAACTCTTCCGCATCATTCTTGAATATTTTTAATTTGATAATTGTATCATGAGTAGCAGTTAATGCGACGTTCACAAAATCACTAAATCCATTGAGTACTTTTAAATTACGCTCGTGTTTTACAATGTCAAGTTTGCCTTCACTACGTAGCCAAGACCAGATTGATCCGTGTTCTAATTCATCTATTGCTGTCTGAGAAATATGTTTTCCTTTAAAGTTTAATTCTTCAATGGTCTCTAATTTATCTTTAATCGATTCCAATGACATAGAAGCATCTTGAGCTTTGAATAAAACTTTATCTATTTGTTCAATAGTTGATGTGGGTGTGGGTGTGGGTGCGTTTAGAATGGAACTTTTAGATTCAAAGCACCTTACGATGCGTTTCGACTGTTGCTTAGACAGTCATCTTCAGGTAATTTCAAAATTTAATCAACTGCATATCGATCAAATAATCTTTAAGTAAAAATTTATAAGAATCAAAGCCAATTGACTTCTGGGTGTGGGTATGTGACTAGCTACCATAATCTAGATTATCACCGTGAAGCTAGCACGACGGAGCTAGCACGATGAAACAGAGATTCAACTATAAGTCTTCTCAGAAGTATTGCCGGCCCATAAAAACCAGACAATTCGATGTAGAATTTAATTCTGAATCAAATGGTGATACTTTTATTCTCCGGCATACTTAGAAAGAAATTTTACCTACACCTTTGTTTTCTTCTAAATAGGACAAGAAAAACCAGATAGAATTTTCTCAAAGTATTGTCGGGGAATAAAAGTATCACCATCCGATCCAGCATTAAATTCTGCATCGAATGGTCTGGTTTTTATGGGCCGGCAATACTTCTGAGAAGACTTATAGTTGAATCTCTGTTTCATCGTGCTAGCTCCGTCGTGCTAACTTCACACTGATATATATATCAATAAACACGAAACGCGTCGGCAAAATTAAACTCTACATTTTTAAAAATGATTTTGAAATACAAGAACTTGAGAATTTAATTTAAAATTTATAATCGGCTAATAATCGGTTGCTGAAAAAGCAAGAGTCGAGACTAACAGATTGAGTTGTCTTTTCGTTAAATGATAGGTTGATCTGTTTTCCAATTGATTTAACCACACCCACACCCACACCCATATCTATCATTGCAGTCTAAAAAACAACATTTCATTCAATATCTCTTATTGAATTGGAACAAACCATTTTACCAGACAAAGATTTAAAATATCTGTATTTACGTTTGTTTTGTCTGGAAATTATAAATTATAATATACTTGTAATCAGATTTTTGCAACTTTAAAAGACTAATATTATTTGATTTAATCTTTGCTGCTTTATTTTACTCGGATGAAAGACATTAATCATTAATTTTGATAAATTCGAGTTTTTTAACTGATGAAGACAAAATTAAATCAAATGCCATCTGCATTTTAAAGTCGGAAAATCTTATTACCATTAGATTATGGCCAAAAAACAGTTTTCTTGCCCTTTTGTTTTGCTACATAAATAGTGTGAAGAATAAATATGTATTTAGAAAGTAAGCACTACAAAATAGGAAGTTAATCTTATGCCATATTCAAGTCAATTCTTTTGGGCTTCGAAAAATAGTTTTCGCCATCGGGATAAACCATTTCCATCATTTTTGAACCGATGATAGGCATTGTCAGCAACTTTCCAGTCTGCCGAAAGTCGTTTGGGTGGCATGCCGTCTTTAGGTTGCTGGATACCCCACCATCGCCATTTACAATTATTAAAAGCACATGTTTTCGGTTCGGCATGGTGGCCACATACTGGGCACTTCGATACATAAGCGTTGGTGCTACCAACAAGATCGAATTGTCCATATCCGATATTGATAATCACTGTCTTTTGATAGACTACACAGTGTGAATTGGTACACAGAGCCTCAACAGAAAGACCGCTATTGGTTGAGTCTGAATCAGGACTATCGGAATTCCACTCATGACATGTGAGACCAGCCGTATCGCTCGCATCGACATAATATAGACCTAACTTGTTATGAACAGCAACGCCATTAGCAAAATATGTGTGTGGGTCGGCAGTGCGCAAATTGTAGACACGTGTCGCTGGAGCAACAATAGTTTTCTTGCTTATGATTGATTTTGCTTGAAGACAGCCATCGACTAAACTGTGGATGCAATCGTTGATGTGAAGTTTCCTAAGTGCACAAAATTTTCCGTTTCCGATGAAGAATGGATGTTCTTGTGTTACGCATAGCACATTTTGTCCAACATTTAATTCGATGTATTCATCGACATCATAAACAAACACTTCTTCAACCGATGTAGTGACAATTTCACCAAACGACCTAAATGCAAGTAAACTGTCACCCACTTGAATCTCGCCAATGCATTTTTTGGTTCCATTAGAAAGTGAAATGAGTGTATCGGGTAGGAAACAGCCATGTCGAAATTTCTTCATTAGGTGTACAGTGGAGTCTAAACTTAATAAAATTTGATTAGAAATCTGAATAAAAAGTATATAGAGTTATTCACAGAATGACTAAAATATTTAAATTTCGGGTGAAATATTTGGTTTCTTCATCATTTTCAATAGCACTGTAACGGAGCTTATTAAACTCACTTTTAACATATTCACTACCAATATATAGAATGCTCATCTTTGTGACAAACACGTTTTAATGATAATACTAATGTATGGCATAAAAATTTCGAACTTCTAAATCCTGAAAACTATTTATCCAATTTTATAAGGGATTATTGTTTTTGCAAGATAGTAGTTTCTGAAGGAAAGCATGCAAATTATAAAACTAGTTTAGCAAAATTTTGACCGTTAATTTTTTTTTAACAAAAAAGCTTCTTACAAAGGTCTATCGAAGTTTTCTGGGCTAAGTAATCCGAATCTGTTGTCGATTCATCGATATATTGTCAGTCTGATATTTCTCTGCAAACTAGCAATACTAATACCTACTTGCTATTGATCTTATATAAGAAACTTGAAGTTGTCGACCAATAAGTTACGAGAAACTGAGATATCAATGTAAGTACATCTTTTTATCGCCTTATTCGAAAATTTCATAGTTGGGAATGTTAAAATCATTCTGTGGGATGAACGTGTATGCTCGCTAATTATATTTCTGATTAGCTCTCATTTAATGTACGATTCTTCTCCTTATCATGGAATTCTTTAGCTGTTAGTCCATAAGAAAATACTCCTACACACTACATACTATGACGAATGCCTAAATCCGACAGAATGCGATGATCTTCAAGCTGAACATTATTGAAGAACAGGTGTTGATGATCATTTGATATACTCGTTCTGCTTTCGATCTTGCGTTTGATCTCCTCGATCGTATCACTGTCTTCGCAATCGATTGTAATAGTGCTACCAGCTATCAAATACACGAAGAGTTGCATTGTCGTGTACGTAATGAGCGAGTGATTGTGGGCAATCAAGTAAATCTAAAACTAGAATATTCTACAAATAAAGCAAGACAAATATGAAAGATCGTCGCTTTAATAATATGGCCGTGTGATGATGAACGACTCAGATTACGTTTCTTAATGTGACATCTAACGCCAACCAAGCCATTCACTTAGTGGCAGGTGGTAAAATGCCGTGAACAAAAAAAAACAATCTATAAAGGAAATGATCTATTAAATAGATAGCTACGAGTTTCTTGTCGTTCAAGAATGTTCTGCATAATTCTTAAGGATATCTGATGCAAGATGTCACGTATAAATCCAAATAAATCTATAGATATCGGTTGGATGTCAATGAGGAAACATTTACTAATGCCCATACATACGTTCCATCTTGATGATATTGTTCGTTCTAAACATTAACATTTATCAATTTTTTATCATTTAATTTTTTTTTGCATAACTGATACAAATATCTGCCAAGAGACATGTTGGCATATTCAAAAAAACATTCTTTAATACAAGTTAACAATTAAATTGTACAAAGTTCTTATTTAAATTCACGTTTTGTATCAAATAGACTGAGGCAATTAAAACTAATTTTCACTTATTCATAATTAATCTGAGCAACACATTGAACAACATGGAACGACGACGAAAGACGTTGCATCAGGATCGTTTTCATGCCGATGAAGAAGAGCCGATGATCGAAAAATAAAAAAGGCTAATAAATCAATTGACTTATTAGGATTGCATGCGTGAAAATTAAATTTATGGTTTTAAAACAGAACTTTTGGCATTAGATGGTGGAATCGTTCCATCGATATCGTCGTTTGTTGACTAAGAATGAAATACTAAACCTGAATAGAAAGAAAAGATCTAAACACTCGACATCGACCAATTGTTTCAGCATTGTCGACTATTTAGTTATACCATCATTTATATCGAATTGTGCCCATCATTAGACGTGTTTCATGCTGGAGTTTGAAGTAATCTATACGATGAAACCATTAAGTATATTTTTGCAAAACGTCAGCTATCCTACCTATGAGAAGAAGGCAAGAAAAAGAAGTGTTTTTATAATTTAAAAAATATTTCTTTTGTGAAAGAACAGCAACTCTCAAGACGCTGATGTTCACAAATTGGTTTGTTTTTACAAAAACAAAACTCGTTTTTTTCTTGTTTTCAAGGTAAAAAAATGAAAATTTAAATGCGTTAAAATGAGCTCTTGTATAAGGGTGATAGCATTTGAAACCATACGAGAGTCAATAAGAAACGAACATGTATTTCGCAACGAAAAAATCAGATGGCGTTGGAAAAAATAGTGTCCCTTCATAGGTGTCATGGAACTGGTGAATTTTTTCTTTAGTGTATAGTTTTTTGAAAGGTTATAGTTGTGAGATGTGAGTAGATACCAATGTTGCAACCGAGTAGGGCGTGGGTGTGATTAGCGATGCGCCTTCGAATATTTTCTTGCAGAATACCCACACCCAGCCTTTTCAGAAATTTATCAACCAATTTAATAGAGTGACGAATAGAATTCTTTCAGTAAAATGATTTTGTTGAAATTGAATCAGCAGCCTATGCATTGATCAATATGAAACAGTCTTCATTGATGAAGTTGAGATAGATCTTTCAACATAGTACCCTTGTTGTGTATTATTTTTCATGAACTGTATTCTGAGGTATCACCAAAACTGAAGAAAGAAAACTGTCCTTGGCAAAATATCTATTTAGGTTACTATGTATGTGTCGCATGTATATCATTAATGACAGAAGAACAGTGTTGAGCAAATGTCTTTATCGTTCGTTGCATATACAATATGAAAATAGTAGGTAAGGTGCTCTCTTTCATTCCATGGGGTTCATTGAAAAATGTTTAGTGGGTCGATGTAGGTTTTATACGTCCCATTCTTTCTCTTAACGGAGATTGATTCTATCGTTAAATATTATTTCTGACCATCAACATCTCAATGGATGCTGAGGCACATTGAATTATGATAGAAATTTATGAAAAGCAAGACTTTGATCCTTCGATAGATGAGTGAGCAGAAATCATAATGCCAAATGGTTGCATTTATGGAAACCGACTAACATCAGATGAGATTGACTAGGATAGTTTCTTCAACAATCACGTATCACCAATCATCATTTGTAAATATAAAATCTAGAATACTCTTTCTTTCCCATTTCATTTAATACAAGTAACGCGACGTTAACGTCCCAAACCCTCGACTGAAAGGTCTACAATATCTACAAAACACAACTACCTGACTAATTCTAGATTCGTAGATTTCATTCAGTTCTCGGGTGAATGAATTCGATAGGGGATCATATTGGATTCAACCAGCCTACAAAATCCGACGGAAGAAAACATTTAATTAATTGAGCACTAATTAGCACATTAAGCCAACATTATATGGTAATCCGAGTCGAATGTAGGATCTCGGCAGAATCCGATGCTAGGATTCGATGATAATCCAATGATACCCGGACACTATGGATCGGAAAGTCATTTCACAACCAAGAATCCTATAGGACTTCACCGGTTTATCGAAAATTTACATAAAATCCTATCGAATTCCTCTGGTGTCTGATCGGATCCGATTGTCGGAATCATTCTTGTGGGTTGTCTTTTTGATGTGTAATCATTGATCAATGATCACAGTGTCACTTGAGGGTGTGAGTGTGTGGGTGTCTCTATTGTTCTTCTTCTGTACCCCCCCCCCCGCTCACCCTATTATTGTGGCACAATATACAATCATTGACACTTATGAAGATTTCTCAAAAACAAACAGCAGACATTCATAATCGGATTTCATATATCGTTATCAAATATCATAAGTACTCAAGAATTGTACTGTATTGGTTCAACATTTTCGGTCAACGACTTATTGTCATCTGCGATTCAACAACAATTGATACCAAAGACTATAATGCACCACTAAGATTGACATGTTCATTAGTGATAATGTGAATTTGAAACATTTGTACATAGATACGGAAAAACAAAATGATTCCTCAGTACACAGATTATGTTGGGTAAATAACAATTAGAAGTTGAATATTATCTTTTGCAAAAAGTTCGAATCAATTGATTGATAATTCTTTCAGCAATCTCATTTAGAGAATCAGCATTATATTCGTTTTATTTGCTTTATATTTGCATCTTGTTTTGAATTGCTTTTCATTCATCATAAGTTATTTCTATTTAGTGCTAAATCTCTTTAAGCCCTACCACAAGTTGAAGTATTAATATCCCAGGCAAACAAAAAAAAGCATGCGATGGATGAGACGAGCGGTCGAAAATTTGATATATACATATATATTTTGCTCGTTCTGTTTCAATTTCGACACGTCGGCAGTCATCGAAGTTTCGAGTACTCCGAGAGAAGCCACCCATCGAAATAATACTACCGACTCCTCAAACACATTTTAATCATTTGACTAAAACAGACATATTGAAAGGATCATTTTCAGTGTTTCAAAAGAGTAAAACCGATCGTAATAACAGTTTTGATGGAGGAGTCTATCATCTTGATTATGTGAAGCGTCAAAATCCGATTTTAAAATATTCTTCATTTTTATTCAATAATTTTCGTAGAATTATCCGAGTTTGCTTCATAATTCACCTTAATTTCAAAATTTTCTGATCAAAATCGATCGTCTATCGATTGAAACTAAAACTAAAAGTCGCCTGCTTTTTTGACTACGACAGCAATAATGAATGTCCACGTTGTGAATTTAAAAAAATTACTAAATATTGACCTCATTCTTTCACGTGCAAATTGATCGATTATCTCATATTGCACGTCATATTTATTCCATAAGTAATTTATACGGAATCTTAAATAAAATAAAAAAATGTTCTTATGTCACTTACAAAGATATAAAAAGTTTTCTCGAAAAAAAAATAAATTTTTAGTGTTCAAAAAATAATCTTTTCTCTGGATGAAAAATATTATTTCTAATGTTTAAAAGAAAGTTCTCTCTCTGAACAAAAAGTATTATTTTCAGTTTTCAAAAAAATAAAATAAAAAAGCATGAAAAACAAGAAGTCCTATCTTCTTATGAATTAAAAAGGCCGTTTTGATACACGAATAATAGTTCATATTTAGCTCAACTGTTCGACGAAAGTGAATCGTAAGTACCCATGCGCAAATCTACTTCTCCGCATATGTTCAATAGGTTTCGACTACTCGAAATTTATACGCGATGGGTCTGGACTAGTGCCCGGCGTGACTGTGACCGTGACTAAAAGGTAGTCACGTACAGCCACGGTCAACAATACTAAAATTTCATCGATCCTTTATTTTGCGTTAGTTACAAGCATTGGATTATAGACAGCACAAAAATACTCTGTACTGCTGTCATTTCGATAATTTATTTGTTTTTCTTTTCAAAGTCAAAACATCTGTACATAAGTATCTTGATGGTGTGAGAAACTGAATAAAAAAATAGGAGAAAAATCTTTGACATCACTGTTCATGCATCAGCAAACAAATCAGAAACCGAAAGAATCAAAGATTCAAGTAAACCATGACCAATAGGCAGTACAATATCGATAAGATTAATAAAATCTTAATTCACCATTTACTGACTCAAACGATCGACTGCCAAAAAAGATTACGTTAATGCATTGGTTAATGCATATTTTGATTTTCCAGAAATAGAATTTGTCTTTTTTTTTGTAGGATTAAAATACGATGTAAGTTTATTTTCGTCACGTCTATCGATCGAAGGTTTTTTAGGACACGATTCAACATGTTTTTTGCATACCACCAGTGCCAGTGTTGAGTTTATATGCAATAAGTATCATACAATCAGTATACATAGCATAATCTTGTTTTGTGCTATATCAGTAAAAATGGTGCTGTAATTAAGCCACACTTTTGATTCATGAGCCTTGCCACTTTGATTTATGAATGCAACTGAATTGTCTTTAGTGATGATCAAGTGCATCAACTTCTGTTTCGACAAGTATTTTTGAACCGAAGTTGTATTACTCATTCCCAACTGAATATCATAACTTTTATTATTAAATATTAAAATACATCGATTGTTTCCTTGTACAGAAAAATATCCTTGCTGACTTGATCAATAGAGTGGATATATTTGGCCTTAGTGAAAAAATACCTAGTTCACGAGAGAGGTTGTAAGTTACTGTACTAAAGCTCCGTGACCGTGATCGTGACCAAAAAACTTGGTCATGCCGGGCCCTAGTCTGGACAACTCGAAATTGAGACATCTATCGGATAAAAAATTTTTTTTTTTCGATGAAACTCCGATCCAACGGAAACGATTATTCGAGTGGTTGAAAATTGCTAGTAAAAACAATATATCGCCGAGCCCTCGGCCCATCGAAAAAAACCTATCGAATGGTTAGTTGGGATATCACCAACAGGTAGTTGGACTTTGTAAATGAAAATGGCACATTTAGCAATCAAATTTAGAGTGATGATTAAAAAAATGAAATTTGTCCACAAAAAAGTTCTATAAAACAACTTAGTTTCACATATATTGTTATACGATTTGCTTTTGTATTTTTTTTCTCTGCAACACGACCAATCAAAAAGGAACAATACATTATCCATTGATGATAATTATAATCTATAAGGTCTTACAAAATAATTCTTATCGGTGTTGATCGTTCGTTCGTGTTAGCTTAAGCTATTGGTTAGATGAAAATTGTCCATTAAGTTTTAAACACAATAAACGATTGTAAGAAACTAAATCCGTTCAAAAGACAACAATTAAATACTTTACTAGGGTTATGACTATACTTCTTTTTGCTATTTGTTCGGCAAAGATAAAATTTTATAATGCAGAATATGGTAGTGATTGTGATTCAGAAACAAAGTCTTTTGATTGCTTGTATACCTTAATAATAGGTTTGATTTAATCTCATAAACAAATTCAATTTTTTGTCTCGGAAATTCAAGCTCCGAAAAGCACAATAAAAATATTTATAGAATTAGTCATAATCGAAAACTTCATATTTAATATCAATTATATTTGTTCTTTTCAAAGCTTAATTTTCAAGGATTATAAATTTATTTATTTTTTAAAACAGCTATTATCAAGATATAAAAGCCATTAGGAAATTTGGTATTTCTAGTCGAAGATTGATATTGTCGATTTATTCACATAGTGGTAACGACACTAGAGACAAAAAAATGCTGTGCTTTTACATTCTTACTATAATAACATTCATTGCAGTTGATGCTTTATCATTTGCTGGGCAACGATCATATGGGTCAATGATTTTCCACATGACTGGACGTGCTCCAACAGATTATGAGAATTACGGATGTTGGTAAGTGACTTGATGAAAATGAGAACATGCACATATTTCAATAATTTTTTATGATAAATTAGGTGCCGCACAGGAAGTAAACCAGAGAGATATGTTGATGATGTAGATCTATGCTGCAAATTTCGTTTCCATTGTTATGATGTAGCTCTCCAATCATCTAAATGTAATGGAATCGCTGCAGAATATTCCATTCAACTGGATAGATCAATTAAGTGCATTGATTATAATGAAACTTGTGCTTATGAACTGTGCATATGTGATAAACAAGCAGTTGAATGTTTTAAGAAGAATTTAGATAAAATTAATGATACTTTTTTTAATTTACCGAAAAAGGAATGTCGATTCGAACGTAAGTAATTAAAACTGAACATTTCGTTTCTTCTAACCATATATGTAGTATATATAAACTAATTATCGTAAAATGAAATGTTATGTATTAGTGAAATAGGTGAGAAATAATGAAACAAAGATCAATTAGTCGAATGGGTTATATTGTGAAATGCCTTATCAGAAAAAAACATCGTTATATAATGTTTCTCTTTTACATATAAGTGTAGATGCCGTATTTTGAAAAAGCACGAATTTCTGTACAAAATAGTAATGCAGCAGTCTTTCGAATATTTTCTAAAGAAGCGATACATTGTTTAACGTACAATGGCAAAAAGCTTTTTATGCTCCCTTAAAGAATCAGCATAAGGGTCTGATGCTGTTATCCCTAGAGTACTATCACAATTAGTATGCATCATGAAAATTGTCTAATACAAAAATATGTAAGTTTAGTGCACTTTTCATTAATGTTAAGAAAAACTGTTTATGCTATTTTTATATTATTTAGTTTCATCTAAGCTGCTAAGATCATCCTTTATTTGTACTAATATTATACATATTAGATAATGTTTACGAATTATACCAGTCATTTATGATCGATTCTGAAAATGATTCTCCAGTTAGTTGTTAAATATTTGAACATTTATTTTCAATTGACTTACCTACACTATTAGTCTTTAGTCTTTGTTCTATTAGAAATCCATCGTGAAGAAACTATGTGGATTTTCCTAGGCAATTTTTCAGCTTCAAAGTTTATTAACGTGAAAAAATCGTTTAATGAACCTGTTTATGAGCTACTTGAATGAAGAAAAACACTAATTTAGTCTCTACGGAGTAGACAACTTTCAGGTCCTAACTAACCCTCGTTACTTAGTTGTGAGATTTGAAAGTTTCTAAAAGTAGGGCTGACAAGTATCGAGAGCTTATGGTGAAATTGAAGTACCTCAAACATTACATTTCAGGCTTTTCCATTTATAGCTGAACGAAAAAAACTGATTTCTGATATAGTTCATCATGTTGTGCCTGGCCATATTTTTTAAACAAAACTTAGCAAAGACTTATTTACAAGAAACTAGATATATATGATAACATATTTCTTGCCCAGGCCTTTATTGAACTTCATACATTATTATTTAGAAGAAAATACAACAACCACTGATGTCCTATGTCAAAAAGCAAAATGGAATTCCAGTGGAATAACTGTTGCCACTGGAGAAGGAATATTTAGCATATTTGTTGATGTCAATAACAATATATATACAGCCCAAGCAGATTTTTATAACCAGCGTGTGTTTAAAAATAGTTCCGATGGTAAAACTGTATATCAGGTAGTTGACTTTGAGGAAGTGCAATCAGCAACTAACTGGAGAGATCAGTTTCGTTATCCAACAGCTCTTTTTGTAGATAACATGGAAAATTTGTATGCTATAAGCAGTTTGGGAAGTCGCATGCAGTCAGTAATGAATGGAAAGCCACCAAATGGATTTGAAAATATTGTAACTTACTATGGATACACAGTTGAAAAACTGACAAGAGGTTCTACTAAACAAGTTCGGGTAGCAGAACTTAAAAATGCCTTGAGGATTGTCCGTTATAGACGTTCGATTTCAAGATAAAAGTTTAAGAGATACAAATTTGCACTAGGAAGTTGAGCATGCGTTGAATATATCGATGTTCGAACAATTTTTTAGAAAGAACATGGAAGATCGTAAACCCAATTTTCATTTCAAAACTTTCCTATTCTGAACGCATAGCAACATCCAGTTTTCTGAGATATAAACAGAAAAATATTTTATCAAGTTCTTTTTTCTCTAATTTTTCATTTATTTGAAAGTTATCTATCGAAAGTTAAGCAAGCGTATGAAACTATATCTCAAAGAAAAGAGAAATTATTTTTGAAATTCTGTTGTCCCAATATGCTATAGAGAATATTCGTCACTTTTTTATCTTGCAACTGAAATGACCGACAGAATTGAGTATGATGTATTATAGTAGGTTTCATATTTTTCTTCTTTGTGTGAACTAATGTCTTAAGTCTTTGGAATATGTTGTTGCAATCAGTTGATTTCTATTGTATGTCAATCTAAATTTGATCAAAAAACATAAGAAAAAGTTGAAGCAGGATTAAAACAGCTTGAAGAGTAATGTCATTACAAAAATGTTATTGAAGACTGAAAAGATTTTTGACAAAATGTTCATATTATACTAGAATGTTTCCATAGATCAAAAAGACCAAGTTTATAATAATCATGTGAAATTTTCTAAATAAAAGCTTTTTCTTGAAATAGACTCAAGGCTTTTAGGAAAAATTCCCACTCATTTCATTCAACTCTGCAATACTAATGTAGAAACTCAAGGAAAAGCTCCAATGCTGGCGATCTCTAATATGTTTCGTAAGTCAAAAGTGTATATGTAGAACTAGAATATTTCATTCACTTCAACAGTAGTATCTTCACATTGGTTTAAATTAACTACAGTGCTTGATGGGTGAGTAATATTCACTGTTGTTTTTTATTTAATCTCTTGGAAAGTGTTCTTGTTCCTCATTAAAAAGTTGTATGTAAAATAATCGAACCAGGTCACTTTAGATTATTGAATTTCAAACAAACAGATACGCAATTTTATTCAACATATCATTTTCATAAGATTCATACAAAGGAAAAATTGCAAAAGTAATTCAAAAGAAAAATTATCTAATGGTTCTTTGTTCTTTGTCATGTTTTGTAGAACTCACAATCAATATTATAATACTGCATAGTCATTAATACCTATGATGTGAAATATTTCTCTTTTGTCTTTAAAAGAGGAACGGTTTCTAGGAAAAACACGAGTTAGAATCTATGGAAGACAGCAAAAGAAAATTAACAAATGTATAGTAGGGATCGAAAACAAAAGGCTTTAATATGGACTTCCTTCATGAATAAAACATTTAATAGAACTAAATATAGCAACAGCTATGGACTTTTTGTTGACCAGGATGATAATATTTACATATCAGATCAATATTATCATTATGTTCTTAAGTTTTCGCCAGATCAAAACAGTACTGAAATTGTTGCTGGTGATATCAATGGTAAAGGAAATGGTTCTCATCAATTAAATGAACCAACACAAATATACGTTAATAGCTTCGGTGATATTTACATAGCTGACTCACAGAATCATCGTATACAAAAATGGGTAAAAGGAGCAAAAGAAGGAATTACTGTTGCAGGCGGAAACGGACTGGGTTCAATGCCAAATCAGCTGAATGTACCAAAAGGAGTATGGGTTGATGTATATGGAAATGTATTTGTTTGTGATACGAGAAATCAACGAATACAAAAGTGGAGTGTAAACGCAAACGTTGGTGTCACTGTAGCCGGCGATTACGGTGAAGGTTCAAATCCCCTACAACTTCGAAATCCACAATCATTAACATTAGATTCTCAAGGAAATATTTATGTTGCTGACACATTCAATAGACGCGTACAGAAATTTGTTCTTGAATCAACTACAACTTGTTAATGAGATTATTTTTTCTCTCTTTTCTTTTTTGGGTTTTCACCTTTTCATTAATTATTATTAATAATATTTTTTGAATGAGGAGAGAATCACATGAAATAATACTACATCATAGATTTATCTAACTGTTTATGGATGTGCATATGTAAAACGCTAAAAGAATATGACCGAATGACAGCGTACCAAAACTTTAGCTAATCAGCTTTTTTCATGCTAGAATTAAAAGACTTGAATATTTTCGAAATCTGGGTCTCTCTTTCTACCAGTGTTTTTAGCTGCGAATTAAGTCACTCAAATGATTTTTATAGCAAAAGAAAAGAGTTTTCACTCGTGGAATGGATTTCTCATGAATTTTGACTAAAGCAAATCGATGTTTCAGAATTCTTATTTATTATTAGTTTTTCGAAATTGCAAGTTTGAATTTTCTATCAGAAGAAGGATATTTTCATTTAGGGGGTGGATGTGGGTATGATGAGATGATTTACGGACACCCACACCCACACCCACACACCCAAATACATGAAAACGAAGGGTGTGTGTGTGCCTGCCAGTGACATGATAACACCCACACCCACATCCACAGCGCGTCGTAGTTGCTTGTAACACACCCCTAGTTTTCTCTTGAAAATTTGGGATTCGTTTGCCATTCTTGATTTCATTGTTGAACAGAGCAGATTGTCTTGATATGGTGTCCATTGAGCGAAAAAAAATTTAGCGAAAAAAGTTTGAGCGACGAGATATTCGCTGAAAATGTTTTTCACTGTTATAATTTTCGCGCTTTTTTTCGCTGAAAATATATTTCGCTATTTTTATTTTCGCTCAATGGACACCATATCCCACAAAGTATTCCAGCACTGATGAGACATTTCTAATCCAAACTGAAATTAAATCCAGTGTTGGGCTACCTTCTTCTCTAATCTACAACACAAAAATGTTCACTTTTACTCATTCCTTCTAATTGTTCTTTCTTATTCCATATGGTCCTTGTACAGTATTTCCATTTACACATGATTCTCTCAAGCCTTTACATTCTAGATATATGAAAAATAGCATCCAGTTCATACATGCTCATCGATTCCAATCGTGATTATCACGACATACTCCATTATGAACCTTGCTACACGTTGAAGCTCCAAATATAATTGAAAGTCAATGTATCCTACATACACAATCGCAGGTTCCCCATTACTAGACATTTCTTATTTTTCTACAAATCCAACTATGCACCTACCATTTCACTCTCCGTCTAAACAGAGTAAATTGTCTTGAATAGACTTATATTTTCTTTGAAAATATTTCAATCCAATTAAAGACCTAAGCTACCTGATGAGACTATATGAGCAATAGTCAAAACACGTCGTGGTTGCTTCTAGCACACCCACACCCTAATTTCTATACGTTGATCGGACTATTCATACGGTTAAAAAACATAATCAAGATGCTTGCGAAAACATGAAATACGAGCACATTTTAGTGCATTGAATAGCAGAGTCAAGTGACTCTTTCGTAAGTTTTTTTCCTTGATGTTGAAAGTATATGACACATTATTATGTCATAAAAAGTTTCTGTAATACTAAACTATGGATTTTGCCTACCTTTTTGTGTAATATGATTCATTACTAATGCTGTCGTGTGTCAATACAAAACGTTTACATACGCTGCCTTTGGTTTTCACGTCATTTTTGCACAGGAAACAACAAATATTGAGATTTAATGTTTTTTGCAATTCTTTTGATTGACGACATCATAGGCTTATCGCTTTCTACGGACTATTTAGAGAAGAAAAAAGAATTGAGAATCTTCCGAGATAAAATTTAGCGTAATCAGCCCAAAAGAACTCTCAGATCTTGCAAAATTTCTTTTTCGAAACGAAGGAACTTTTGCATATGAATCATTCATAACGACTGAGAATGCATATTTATCTATATATACTGTATATAATATAGAAACAAGTCATAAATTCATAAATTTAATCATATTCTTTAGGCAGAAACTGAGTTTAACATTTCTCCATTTCAGTTATTGATCTCGTCACTCAACTTAAGTAATGTCGATAGCAAACAAAAAATGTGTACAATCCAAGCAAGATGAGAAACCTTCTCAATGCACGATGTTACTTGATGTATCACCTAGATTCCAATGGGACCATGGAAATGGTTACTGTGGTGAAGTATCTCTTCAATGTATTGGTAAGTTCTCATTGTTTACTATGATAGTTAATCTCATATGCACATAAAAAGTTGAGTGAACTTTCCGATGTTCAAAATTAATTGAGTCAGAAACATGCAAAATTTCTACAGTATGAAAGACTTTGAAGATTTGCAGTTTACTGAATATATTTAGGACTTTACTATGGTGCTTGGATTTCTCAAGGTCTCATTCGTGACCTCAATAGAGGTGAATTTCTTTTGCAACGAATGCCATCCAATGATAAACGTGATCCACTTCGTACTATTAGTTTACTTCATTTCAAATATGATGAATGGGATTGGAAGAATTCACACTCGGCACAATATCGAGACTTTTGTCGTTGGATGAAACTATCTCTTCTGCGAAAACATCCAATCATGTTTGGAATCTTTCTTCCAGATGATGATTGCGACGATTATGATCATATCGTACCAGCAATTGGTATTCGATACAGATATCCCAATGAATATGATCCAGATGATACACTAATCTATTATGACCTTTATTCATCAAGAGCATTTGAAAAATGTTTAAGTGAAGAAACCATGGCATCCACCAGGGCAGAGATGTCAACAAACACACATATTCGTGATGAACGTATACCGTTAATTGTAAGAATCGATCTGTTTTAGATATAGAAAATCTAAGTTTGTATCTATCATTTCAAGAATTGACCCATGTCGCTNTTAACTCTTAGAAAATTATCAGATTTGAGTGAAAATCGCGTTCTTTCATATTTATAAACGTGCTACAATGGAATAGAATTCACTTTTCGTTTATTTATACTCTCCAGCATTAACTATTTTCTAAATTGTTTAGACTGATTATGGCATTGCAATAACAGGAGTGATGGATAAAGATCGCGTAACACTTCCTGTTCACCTAGCAGTATCAGCAAGAGATGAACCAGATCCAGTACTTAATGCGAAGTCGCGAGAGATGGATGGCACTGTTACAGTGAACAATTTGACAATAGGAAGTACTTATGTTCTTCTTCGTTATGCTTCCTACAAGTTTACTCCCATAGAAGGAGATGCTAACGATTTCATTAATTCAGGTTTCGATGTTAAACATGAGTTCATCGCAGACAACAGCACATACGTTTATAAAGACCCAAAAAAGATACCATCGAAAGGATCGGTTTATTATCGATGTGTTTTAAAGCCTGATGTTGTCCAAAATTCATGTGAATAAACTAACCATTCCTTAAAATGATTAATACCTTAAGAAGGTAAACGACAAGCCACCTGAAAAAAGAACAAGCATATGTTGTACGATACAAAAAAAGAACAGTGTGGGTGGGTGTAGTTGTGAGTTTAGATATTGGTTTCTTCTGCCCTCCCACATATCCACACCCAATCTAAAGGCCTTGTTTCAGCGGGATTCCTACGGCGTCAGTCTTGGCTTACATGGAATAGTTTATAAATGAAATGAAAGAGTACATCGTTTTTCGTTCTGTTTATGCTGTGTAGAGAGTGTAGAATAATAAAATCTTCTCTTTATAGTGGCTTCGGAAGAAAAAAGCAACTCATCGAATAAAAACCGTAAGTTATATTGACGAAGGAAAAAAGGAAGAAAGGAAAATGTAAAGTCCATTATTGAAAATGGGTGTGGATGAAGTGTGTGGCTACGGATGTCTTTGACTACTTCATATCCACAACCACACTCTGTATGAAATTGGATGAAGCTGAAATTTTCAGAATATATTCAAGTTTCATAGGATTCGAAACTTCCGTGAGAATTTAATGATTAAAGTATAGGTCCGTTACGGAATCACCCAAAATGGTCTTTGCGTTTGAGTCCTATGCGAAGAACTGGAAAATTTAGCTCAACTAAAACTGTGAAGAAAAACCTTCGAATAGGAAATTTATAGTGAAGATGACATTCTATCTGTAGAAAAAAAGAAAATTGAAAATATGTAAAATTATGCCTTTCAAAAGTGGGAAAAGCTTCGCGACAGAATCACTTTTTCAAAAGTTTCATGTTTTTTTAGTGTCTATTTCTTAAGAAATTTATTTATAATTCGAGAAAATCAACACATATGTATAAATCATAGAGATGTACAAAATGAGTGCCGATTCCAGTCATCGGGATTAACCGGGACCGGGACCGAAAAAATTACCTGTGCCGAGGCCTGAGCCCCAAAAACGTAACTATATCATGGCCGAGACCAAGACCGAAGAAAAAGTGATCCCACCAAGAGGAAGAAAGTGAGAGTTTTGTACTTCGGAGCCCAGATGAAGTAAGGGAGGAGTACAGTAAAGTAAGCCCAAGTTACAGTTGTAGTAAAGAAATAAAAAGTATGAGTATTGAAGAAGCATTAAAAATGTGAGAAAACAATGCTGCAACATGTTTCTCTAAATAGGCACAAACTGTAGATTGGTTAGAATCACATGGCCGGGATAAAAGATGAAACTTCACCCGGACAGAGACCACACTGTAAAAAAAATCCGCAGAATAATAAACGGAAACTACGCTTTTGATAGGGTATTGAGCAAAAAGAAGGGTTGATGAAAGGGGTTCGGTGGAAAAGGCAGAAAGGGAAAACGTCGGAAAAAAAAGGAAAACATAGAAGGGGAAAATTCAGAAATTCTAAACGTCGAAAGGTAAATGTCGAAAATTGCGTTTTTTGTTAATTTTAACAAAAAATAAAAATTTATTCGATCATATGATAAAATACAATAAAAAAAATAAAACTAAGTTTATCAGTAATAATTTCTTTTTTTGTGTGATCCAAGTAGTAATGCTAATCCCTTCAATAACTGCTTTGCATTGATTACCAAATCAAAAGAAAAAAATTTCGTTATCTGTAGACATCTTTTTCATTCTACGTTTTCCTTTTCAAAATTCTTCTACTTTTTTCCTCTGGCAGTTTTTCTTCGACACTGTTATTAATTATACTTTTTCCATTCGACGTTTTCCATTCGACGTTTTCCTTTCGATGCTTTTACCTTCTGCAATTTCCAGTTTCGACGTTTTCCTTTTTTTTTCGACATTTTCCTTTTCGGCGTTTTTCCTTTCTGCCTTTTCCGTCAGTTCTGATGAAAGTGCAACGTGTCACATACCCTTTTTCAGTTTTTGAAAAATCTGATAAACCCTTTTTCTAAATCATAAACCTAAAAACCGTTTATTATCTTCGTCATATACGGAAAAAAGGGTATGTGACACGTTGCACTTTCATCAACCCTTTTTTTGTTAAATACCCTATCAAAAACGTATTTTCCGCTTATTATTCTGCGGATATTTTTACAGTGAGTAGAGATCATCAAATACAAACCCACAACCACACCCACACCCACACCCATATTCAAACGGAAATTCTATCAAAAAATGATCATGAACTTTATGACTCTCATGATCAAATAGGAACATGCTATGGTCTGAGCAGTGATTATCAAGCAGCACTGAAACATTTCAAGAAAGCACTTAAAATCCAGCGCCATCGAAAGAAATCATTGGCATCGATTTGCCAATCGCTAGGTGACACCTACAAACATCTTAAGAAGCAAAAATCAGCATCGAAATACTATCGACTGGGTATCCATAGTCTTGATGAAAAAGATGAAGCTCACCGAACTGTTGATGAACACGTACATCTGTGCCAGTTATACAGAAAACTCGGCATTGTTGAATGTCAAATGAATCACTTCACTAAAGCCATGGCAAATCTACAACAATCATTGAATATATATGAGAAATTTCTAACGAATGACAATCAATATGATGAAATTGTGCAAGATATACTAGAGTCAACAGCTAAAGTTCATGAAGCAACAGAAAATATGTCTTTGGCTGAAGAATATCGAAAAAGGAAAACAGTTACTGAAAATACATGAAAACGAAGGGTGTGTGTGTGCCAGTCAGAGACATGATAACACCCACACCCACACCCTCAAGAACTTTTTCGAATCCGTTTCGAAGTAAGACTAAACAGTTTGTATTCATTGCCAATTTTCTTTTTAAATATAGTTCAATGGAGACCGAAACTACAAATGGTTTTCGATTGATTACAGGAACTTTATTAATCAAAATAAGTAAGTTAAGAATTTTTTAGCTTCTCTACTTATTCCTAAATTCTCGCTTTTTATAGTACCGATGTGGAATACAACATGTTAAACCTTTTAGCACAAAAAATAAAACGAAGAGCAAATGATATTGTCAAAAAAACTTCAAGGATGAACAACAAGAACAGTAACAACAACACAACTTTCCACAAACAAGAATTATATATCTCAAACTTACCATCATATGAAAAAGTTTTCTTTTCACAGTTATCATTCCTTAAAATAAATTTATCTCATCATATATTACTCAATGATGATACTTAGTCGAATATTCTCTTTCTTTTATTCAATATCAATGTTCGATGTCTTTATTTTATATTTCTTCGATGAGCATAATCTAAGACATAGTCGAATTTACACCTACAAAAAAATAGGTCCATTTGATCTGCATTCACAACTTCAGTTCTCCTTTACTCTTTCCTTTTCATGTGAGCATTAGCATCCTATAAAAATCCATTTCGTCTGAGAACATGTTTTATTTAAACAAAAATTGATAACATTCACAATATTTTTGTATGAGAAAAATATTCTTTTACATATTTAGGAATTCGACATTTTCCTATTAGACCTAAGCTACGCAGTTTTTTACAATTGTTTCGTATTGTATTGTTTGTAAAATGTTGTGTCACACGTTTTAGTACTTGATAATCAACAGAAAGATATAGATTATTTGGTAAACAGGCTTTCGTATCAACAAGAAATTCTTCGATATAATCATCATGAGCTTCAGTAAGATTAAGTTGAGAAAGATGTGGATATTCAGCGATTGACAAATGCTCATTTTTATCATCTAATTTTCCATATTGCTTATCATTTTGTGGTTTTTCATTAATTAAAGTTAATTTTTTCATGCATGGAAATGATTTCGAAATTTGAAAAAAAATAATGTTCAAAAGGTTGTTCATCAAACAGCGATATTTCACGAACATTGTTAGATATTCCACCTGGAAAACTATTTGTTATTTGATGATACTCTTTCCATTCGTATGGATATGAATAAATATGACATTGACTTTGCTTTATCTCGGAAAAATAATCAACACAAGAAATAATTTGGTTATTTGGAAAGTCATTAAATGTATATTGAATATCTTCATTAGACAGTAAATTGATTTGATTATCAAGACGAACAGTTGAGCGAATATTAAATTTAAATTTATTTAATTTCGGCATATGATTGATAATATTCTTTTTTAAATTATTGCCATCGATTAATCCGTTCTTGCAACAAATGGCAAGATATAAATCAAGCTTTTCTAAATTGAACATTCGATGTAACAACGGTACAATTAGTTCATCATAAGCAAGTGTATCTGTGCTAGAATGTAATGAAAAGCATTTTAAATCAGGTAAATTTCCCTAAAAAAAATAACATATAGAACTTCATTTGAATAAATTCGATTTTGATGAAAAGCAATCTACCATATTATTGCTTCTTAAACGTGAAGAACAAGGAATCCAAGAAATGTTAACATAAAATGCTCGAAATTGATCAAAACGCCCATCAAGTAGATAAAGACAGTCGCCAAAGCTTGCTACACTGACATGCAGTTCTAGGAGTGTTGACGAAATGAAGATTGGAGATAAAATCTCAAATGATATGTATTGAGGATCAATTGAAGATGAATTGAAGTTTAAATACTGTAGATTGGTGAACATAGTAAAGAGATTTGTAAACATAATTGTATTCTCATCTGTTGCTGAAGTTTGCTTTCTATTTTTTCTAATACAGATAATAAGTGATAGAATTTGATTTTTCATTAAATCAGTAAAAATATTTCCATCTAAACATAAATATAAATTTTTTTTCGAAACTAATTAATCATGTTTACATGTTGTTCGGATAGATCATGTTTCTCATATAAACATTTATACTAATTTTCATGTAACATTTTTTGATGAAAATTTTCTTTTTACTCATAATTTACGTTGGAAGTTACATTTCGAGATAAAACTAATTTCTTATCGATAGGATATCCAATGATGTACTTTATTCCATTAAGCGAATGATGAAATGAACATTACGCATTTTTGCTATTCTTCTCATTTCTTGAAAAAAGTATCTTACTAGCGAATAAATGTGTTGTGGTTTCCATTTCAAGATTATATAAACCGAGTCCATGTAAATTTGGATAATTTGCAGAAAGAATTCGTTCCATAGAAGATGATTCAATGTTTAGCCATTGGATTTTATAATGAATTTCAGGTAAAATTTGTGAGTAAAATCGATGAAGTATTCTCTCGGATAACGGTGAGATAGAATCATTGGCGAGTCTCTTCATCAATGTTAAATGACTTGTAAAAATTGAATCATGTACGAGTGTATTGAGCCGTTTATTGATACTTATTAAAGAATACAGTACTTCATAACTGTCTAATTTTTTCAAAATAATCATAAGAACTTCATCTGGTAAATCATCTAATTGAACGAGTGAATGTATCATCATTATTTTCTCGTCTCATATATTCATTGATAACGTTAAAATGTGATCATTTATACATAGACATTTACGTCACCTGTATGACCTTAATCGTCAATGAGAACAATGGTGCATTCTTTTTTTTCTATAACCTAACTTGACTATGAATAAGTGGGGTTGGTGAAAGTTGAGCACGAGGAAAGTGAAGCACGAAACAACAAAATTAACTCATACACGGAGAATATAAAATCGAAAGTGAACTTGAACAATCGTGAGACCAAACGCTAAGTGGGGACAGTAAATATGTTTAACTTTCTTCTAATTAATAACGCTTAACGAATAGGCAATAGAGGATTAATCCTACTATCGAAAAATGACAGAGCGCTCATTCTCGGATATACTGTACTTTTTAATGTAGCAATTATTTCCAATAATGGTCCAACGAAGTCTTCACGCATGTAATACTATAAATAATATTATTAAGCCGACAACGCAGTATACATACTCTTTCAGTCTTATCATATTGAAGCTTTAAAACTTCGACTAGGTAATCTTAAATACGGACAAATAATACAAAAGCTATTAATTATCCAACTGAATCAATGTTGTAATGTAACATTATTTCGAAAAGAATTAATCGATGGAAATACCACTCATCTGAATGTAATACTAATAAAAGTTGGATAAACGTGGAATTACCAAAACAAACCTTATAAAAAATTATTAAATCTCATCTTTCATCGTGCTCAACTTTCCGGTTCCCAAAATAAAATGATTACCCAGGGCGATAAATTCCGGTTCCGGATGCTGTCGAAAGTTATCAGAATCTCTGGTGGCGGGATCCGACCATTGGAATTGGCGGATTCGTCTGTCGGAAAATGCCGGAAAGTATATTGATTCGGTAGGATTCTATCAGTAAATCAGATATTACTGGCAGATCGATACTTTTCTGACAAACTTTTGTTTATTACGTCATGTATATATATGGGTGTGAGCAGCCGGCATGGAACTCCAATTCGGCTTCTTTCTATTATCAGTTAATAACTTAACCATATTCAGACCAAATTATCACCCTCTTCGCTAATCTACTTCATTTAAAATATCAGCTGTTGATGCCGAGCTTATAAGAAATGGTTCAGTTCCTTCAAAACAATAGGACATGCTTTTAGAGATTGAATAATTTTCTTTTAAGTTCGGCATCAACAGCTGATATTTTAAATTTAGTGGCTTAGTGATAAGGGTGATAATTTGGTTCGAGTATGGTTAAATTATTAACTGATAATAGAAAGAAGCCAAATTGAGATCTCATGCGGACCGCTTAAGCCCATATATATCTGGACTCATACACACATCTCAAGTTGAATCACTAGCCCAACTCCTTTTACTATTGCTGCATCCATCTATGATGTTTTATTTGGATAGAAGTTTTTACCAGTTATCGTATTTCTGGAATACGATAAATGGTGGACATCATATCTATCTGATATGTCATAGACAAAGCAGCATATTCATTTAATTCAGATCAACAAACAGACTGATTTGCACCGCTCAAACCATCACTAAAAACAAAAAGATGATTTTTCTTTTGTTAAAACATTGTTTACCTTCCCTGTTATATTGCAGATATATCTTTAAAAAAGGAATTCTTTTTCAAAACAAAATATCTATTGTTGGTTTCCGATATTGAATTGGACTAAAATAATGAAAAAAATTGTTTTAATCAAAATAAATTGTATAAAACGTTGATTACAGCGGTGAACTAGGCCAAGTTAAGAAATATGGAGGTAATCTTATCGGATAGCGACGGATTCTATTGTCAGAATTTCGTCGGATTACTTGTGGAACCAACAAGATCCAGTTGGAGTACTCTCGCCCTAAGATATGCTGATAAGATATTCGACATATGCTACTGGGTGATGATAAAATCTACGAACTATAGAAGGTATGTACATTTAAATACGTGGATTCCTTCAATTATTTGTTACTCAGTGTTAGTTAATCCTAACCTTGCCATTATACATACAGTTTGACAGCGAATGTGGTTTTTTCTTCTTATTTACCAGTGTAAAACTGGTCCATGTGTTCTTTTCATTCACGGAGCTTCATATCCTAAGTCTCTATTATTTCTCTCTCGTTTTTTTCTCTTTCACTTCTCTCTTAGTTATCTGTATATCTTGCTTCAAACTCCGAGAAAAAGACAATCGCAAAAAGGAACACAAAAATCCTGTTTGAAGAGACTATTCTTTCCTTACAAGTCGAGATTCGAGCTATACCACAAGAGTATGACATGTTTCTCCAGTCGAGCATCTCTGCCATTGGTGTTCGACATAGGTCAATTGTTTATGATCCGACTCGAGCCAGACATTGTTTCTTTAAAGAATAATGTCGGTTAATGATCTCATCTTTCCTAACGCGCTCGTTCTATATCAAATTTAATTTCTGCAGATTGAGCCGTCTTTTTTTCAACTTCATAATCTGTTGCATCTAATGATATGGATTTTAATCGATAGTCTCTTTTCGTTTCATCAAGTAAAAGAAATGTATATAGAACAGAAAAAAAAATTTTCTCTCTCACTCAAATAATTATTCGAACTAACTTTCATTCGTTTTATAGCAGTTAAATAATGAACAAGATCGCGTATTCCCAAAAATAGATTTTGATAATACGCATCGATTTAATAACTTCCGACATTATTTTAATACGCTCATCTGTAACTTGTAAAACTTTCATTCTACAAAAATCAATCATTTTAAAGTCTATGTCACACGAGAAATCTTTTTTTTCACCTAAAGTAAAATTAGTACAGTTACAATGGTACAACCAATAGCAATTAATGAAATATATTTTAATAAAATGCTAGAATAAAATAATCATTGCTATTATATCAAATGGTGTAACCTTTTCCGATAAGAAATATATGCAAAGACAAAGATTTTGTTTTGATACACATTACCTGTATATGATTAAAAGAAGCAAAAGACATTTCAATTTGACTAGGATCATTTGAAAATACATCAGTGATTTGACCCGAAGTAAATGCATTTAGAGAACTAGTTGATAAACGAAGAACTTAAATAGATGGTCTTGTCCTTAATGTAATCAAACGTGGAGTCTTACTTTACGATAGATTAAACCATAATAAGCAACCCGCATTTTCATTGCGAATAGTTCAATTAAATAATAAAACTAATAAAATTTACTTTCAGGTACAAAGAAGTGTAATTGAACTTGTTCGTTCCAGATTCTTATTTTCCTTCATGGATTAGTCAAGATTCATTAGTTCCGGCATATAGATACCGAATCCATATTATATCTACAAGAATTCATCAATATTGTAAGCTTTTTTAACTTATTTAGTCAACGAAATCAGTACTTTTGCGATCACTTTTCTTGAAATAAGTTCTAATTCATATGACTTACAAAATAATTCAATTAAAATCATAGAAGATTTTACTATATCACTTGAGCTTCGGTTGGGATGCTCTTCTCGAGACCTTAGCCAGGTCAGGATTGAAATTGCAACCGACCAATCGAGCATACTTCAAAAATTTTGATGTGCAAAAACATCATTTGGACTATCTCTTTTGCTCTCGCACATCTCAATTACCGACTGGTTAGTGAGTTGTACTGTCGGTGATTGATTCTTAGACATTTTCAGAAATACTGAGTGCCAACGAAACATTAGTCTCAGAAAGGAAATGGACTTTAATAAGTGCTAAATATTCTTTATATAAATGGATAACGTCTGCCATTTATTTCTTTTAATGGAAACACCATTCTTCTAATGTAAATTAATGTTTGATATGAGCAATTTTTCATGATCAGCCCAAAATCTTTAGTCAATCAAAATGGCCCTTGGCAGATATTAATAATCACCTCAATCGATCTATATAAATTCTCTCAATATTCGAAATAAAGAAACTATAATCTCAGCTAAAATTGCTGTTTTTCTTATGCGAAGTTCGGAACTTATCGATTGTTTTGTGAACCAATCCAATCTTACTCAGACTCCAATGAAAATATTCTGCTTTTGATCTTTGTGTATCTCATAAAGTCAAATTCTTGTTTTACAATAACAATAAAACTAAAATAAGTGAAATATATTTCTTGACGCATACTACAGATTATATCTTAATTATAGGAGTCAGTCAGTATGTAAGAATCTTGTCTACTCATACAGTCACAAACATTTTTTTTCTTTTAAACAAGAATCTTATGCTGAAGTATATAATATTTTAAGAAAAACAAGAATTCGGAAAGAACAAGTTCACAAAGATCGATAAATAATAGAACATTTTACTCACTGTATGATGACAAATACTAGCACATAAGTAAGTAGATATACTAATTCAACAGACATTTTGGAACACGGTTCGAAGAAATCCATTAAATATATAATTAAACATGTTATTATTCATGAAAAAAATTTGATTCTCGAAGCTATTCTACAGACTTTACAAAATAATTTTCGACATCGTCCGAACATCGTATGAATTGTCGCACGAAGAAGACTTGCTCTGTTCGGATGTCGTTTGATTCCATTGAGCCAATAATCTTCTAATTTTTCAATGAGTTTTTTTGACTCATGTTGAGGAAGTATACCATAAAGATCATTTAAATAAAGCGTTCCTTGTTTATGACAGAGATGAATTAATTCTGTTATCCAACTAGAGAAAAAAAATATTATTCAAATGAAATGAAATTTCAATGAAACGATTTACCTATGACAAAATCGTGACCATTTATTGGCAGATAAAAATCGATTCGGATTATGTTGTTGTTGTGTGGTCATCTAAAACTATCGACAATAATCACAGGAACTAGCCTCGAATGAGTATAGATGGTTTTCATTCCAGAATTAGAACGGAAATAGTTTCTCGATTGATCGACATTGTTGCCAATAGATGGCAAAAAGGGTGGGTGGGTATTTTTTCATCAGTAACCACACACACCCTCAAAATCTATTGGGACCTGTGAATTTGATTGATACAAGATCCGCATCTTTCACCAACACAGAGAACATCCAAAGATTAATAAATGAAAATTTGCGTTAAGATGAGATTTTATCATTGTGAAAAGAGAAATAACCTGTTTTAATTCCATTATATTCGTGTTATAAGCCGCTACATCGTTGACAAATACAATAGATGAGTAAGGTGACTTCTTCCTTACGTTGTAGGCATTCTCTCTTAGGATCATAGTTCGATTTAGAGAATTAATTGAAAAAAAAAGTCTTCGTGAAGTTTCGTTTTCTCAAGAAAAATCGGCTGTTTAATTGTATCACAGGAGAAAAATATCAGCTTCTCGCTTTCGAAAGATTTCAGATAACTTGCGAAGACTTCAACAGACTTCTGGGATTTTAAAAGATTCAAATACACGTGACAAAACTACAAAATAATTATTAATATTACAGAAAAAACAATAATTCAAATAAATATCTTAAATAGAAAAGAAATGTTTTGAAAGGTTTTCACTTTCACCCTTGAGAGAACCAACACAATCATAGCAATTAGAAAAATATGCTCACTATTCCTAAATCGTGATTCTTTCTTTTTGCATTTCTTTTAAATTAAATTAAATATTTTAGTCGGAGTTTCTTCGTTTTTTTTAAATGGTGCTAAATTGAAAAAAGAAACCACCATTTCATTAGAAAAGACTGGATCAATGCTCTTCTTTTTTCATATCACGTTTGTTTTGAACAAAAATAAATAAAGCGCCGTCTTTAGATTCATTTGCTCACTTATCGTCAACTTGGATTATAGAAAAATGAACCTTTGTTTTCATGGACGACATCAATCAATTAGATGAAAGAAATGTGTACATATAAATACTCCCATATCGAAGTTACAAAATCATATACAGAAATGAAAGTAAACATGAAACATTCAACGATTCAATTGGGTGATTTACCCGATGAAATTCTTATGATGATTTTTAAAAATATGTGTCAAGTTGATGTACTCTACTCTTTAATAGATGTTAATCAACGACTTACTACAATTGTGCATGATCCAATTTTTACTAATCATGTGACATTACTGAAACATTTATCGGATGGTTCCATATGTTCATTAACTGATTCAATGCTTGATCAATTTTGTTCACAAATTCTACCTAAAATGAATCATAAAGTCAAATGTCTTCATCTTGAATCATCATCTATGGAACGTATTCTTCTAGCTGCAAATTATCCTAGTTTAGATGGACTTTCTTTATGTAATATTACCCCCAAGACAATTATACAATACTTTTTGGGTGAGATATCTTATTTCAATTGTTTTAATTGAGAAGAAATAAGACGCATATATAGAAAAAAACAGTCGCATTGCAGTTCTTTTGAGACTAAAAATTCCTCAATTCATAAAATATCTGATAAATGATTGATCAGTATTTTTTGTCATTGCTGAGGAATTATATTACAGGTATTTCATGACTTTTGTATTTGTGTTTAGACGAAAATGCATTAACTGATCTATTTAAAAATAAAATTTTATCACTTACTTTCAATATGAATGTAAATAAAAAGGACAATGATAGAGAACATGTCAATGGAGTTATATTTCAACGTATTATTAAAATTTTCACCAATCTACAATATTTGAATTTTTGTCCATCTTCTATTTGGCATTCAAGAATATCGTTGAAAATTTTTACTGAAAATTTAGCCTCCACAACTCTCTTAGAATTGCATGCTACTGTAAACAATTTCGATGATTGTCTTTATTTACTTGATGGACGTTTCAATCAGCTTCATACTCTTTATGTTAATGTTGCTGATATTCAATCTTCACAGCAAACAATCAATAATATGGTAAATTATTTCTAATTTTAGAAAATGAAATGGAATTTTCTCTATTTTCTAGGAAAATTTACCTAATTTAAAATACTTTTCGTTATATTCGAATGTTGTGACAAGTGCTTATGATGAATTAATTGTTCCACTGCTAAATCGAATGTTCAATTTAGAAGAACTTAGTTTATATGTTAAAATTTGCGATATAAATAGATTTGTTGATGGTAATGATTTAAGAAAAAATATTCTCAATAATATGTCACGATTAAAAAGGCTTCAATTTTATATTCGCTCAACTACTGGTGTTCTTAATCGAATTAATATACCATCAAATGAAGATATTCAATATACATTCAAAGATTTTCATAATAATCATATTATTTCGTATGTTGATTATTTTACAGACACTCAGCGAGGTCAATGTCATGTTTATTCATACCCTTATACACTGAACGAATATTGTAAAATAACCAATAGTTTTCCAGGTGGATTATATAAATGTGTTACTAAAATATCATTATATGATGAACGACCTTTTGAATATAATTTTTTTCTGCGAATTGCTGAATCATTTCCACATTTGAAAAAACTAATTATAGAAAATATGAAACCTCAAAATGGTAAACCAAAAAGTGATGGCAATCAAAATTTACCAATTATTGAATATCCTCATCTGATCACACTTGATCTTACTGAAGCTCATTTAGATTATATCGAACTATTTCTATTTGATACTAAAATGCGTTTGTCAAATAATATTTCTGTTGTTGCCATTTACCAAGCACTAAGAAGAGTAACGGAAAAATTTACAAGAAATGCTACACCAATCCATGGCAAAAAATTGCATTGTTTAAATTTGGTGGGTAAATATCGAATTCCTAAGTATGTAAAAGAATATTTTCCTCATACAGAAATATGTAGTTGTGAATTCGTATAAAAGTTTATTTAAATAAAATTTGTTCAAAACTAAATTAATTTATATAAAATAAAAGCATTATGAAATAAACAGACTGAAGGGGAAAACATTTAAAGCGTAAAATATATACTTTTTATACGTATATCAAAGCTATTTTAAATGTGAATGAAGGTATGGGCGTGTCATATTATGCACAATCATGAAGCCAAATACCTATATAGATGCTCAACTGATTCCTTATGACTTAATAATGAAATCTGAATAATGTCTTCCATAATCCTCTTTTTAAGTAACATATCATGTTAAGATTAACTATTAGTACAATATTTATCATGTTTTTCAATTTATTGAACAAGTTGAAACACAATTTCATTTATAACGAAGGAAAGTAATGATGAAAAACATTTTCTTATCGCAATATGTTGAGTAGGAAAAGCTCTTTTATCTTCGTGCAATTTTGTCGTGTTTCTCGAATCATTCTAATGAATCATTGATTTAGTTTGCCATTTTCTGAATGTTTTCGTTTCATTTTAAAGTTATTCAACATTGTCAAGATTTTCATATCTGACGCTTAGTATAGTAAAAATTTGAATATACATGATGTTGAAGCTAATCAAATACGAAAGGAATTAAAAAGATAGAATATACAACATCTCCACGATCACTGATATAACTTATGATATTGACTAATGTGTGCATATTATTATATAAATGAGTAAGAGTTGAAAAGAAAAACATTTAATGATCGATAGGATAGATTGAGTGTTTCAATAATAATTTAAACTTAATTCTTGTATGAAATTGAAAAGTTAAATTTGGCTTTTTCAACGGTAAGAAGAATCATTTCATTGAAAGTGTGGGTGTGGGTGTGTGGGTGTGGGTGGGGCTGTGGCTGTGGATGTTTAGATCAAGAGTCACACTCACACCCATCCACACCCACACCACACGCTCCTTGACACGTCCAAACTCATTTTATTTCGTATGACCATCCCTTCAGTCGAGGAAATTACTTATTTATTTGCTTTCTTTCTAGTCAGGAAGCCAAAACGAAACGAAATGAAAAGACTTGAAAGAGCTCTTGAATACACTCAAAAAATGAAAATTTTCGTGAATAATGAGCAGCATACATTTGAAAGACTCGAAAAAATCTGATGAAAAAGAAAAGTAATGTACAGTTATTTTAGTGAGCTTTCTCTTTCGTCGACCTTGTTACATGACATCTGCTTCAATCTCTTTATGAAAATGATTGCATAATCAGGGTGAAGATTGACGATGTAATGCCAATAAACATAAAGGTATATAAAGCAATGAGTTTCAGCAGATGTTCATTTTAACAAAGGATATTAGTTGGAAGTAAGTAACAGTAATATATAATCAAGTTTCTGCATCCATTTCGATACTATGCATTCTACTTGTTTATCGTATTCTGAAAAATCTCGATGAGCTCACGATTGTATGCTTGGTTCGTAATGTGTGTACAAAAGTAAATGCGATGATTGGTACTTTTGATCACAATGAAGTGAACTATAGCTTTTTCCTCGAGTCAGATTTTCCGTCACCTTTAAAAATGCTACTCAGTTGAAGAGGGAGTGTTACTTTTTTCTATTTTTCTCTATAATAAAGGCTAAGTACTGATAAAATCTTTATCTTTATATTGAAAAATAAATATGTGCAAATGAAAAAGTCTTTACTATTTAAGAAAAATAGAACGGCTACCCAGAATATGATTCCACGCTTTTACTTTCTTAGAGAAAAATTCATAACTACTCTGCAGAACGTTCGTTTGAATTAATTTTTGATTTCCTGGATAGAGGAAATATTTATCTATATAAGCATATTATTTTCACATGAATTCAATTAGTCAAGGGCGGAAAATCTAATTCCACGATTCCACTAACTCTTTTGATTCCGTTGACACTGACGGCCATAGGATTAAGCCCTCCCCTGCTTGAGCCGTATAGATATGTAGGCTTTCAATGGTTGAATAGTAGAATTCAACTTGAGGGTTAACATATACTTATTAATACAGAATCAATAAAACGTTTTTTTCATTTGAAACGTAGAAAGACTACAAGTAAGTAACTTGCTGTCAATAGCAGACTTTGGATTTTATTCATTGTCGTATGAAGACTATTTAAGCATGACTTTTACTTTTATCATTCATTATTTAGTTATCGTCATTTTTCTCATCCACCGTTCAGAAGAAATCAAATAATTTATTTGACTTTTATCTTCCTTATGTTGATTCACTTATATAGATGCTTGGATTCATGACGACAGTTCTCTTTTCTTCGAATAATTTTATTCTACTACAAATAAATTTATTCACGTAGTATATTTACATATAGTCGCCTGCAACTATATTGAACTAACGTAAGTGACAATGGGAGACGGTTGTACACATTCATTCAGGGTGGGTGTGGGTATGGATATGAAAGAAGAGGTCACCCACACCCACAGCCACATCCACATCCACAGCCACGCCCACAGCCACACCCACACCCTCAGGAACGGGGACCGATTTGAAAATTAGTCTAAATTTGGTTAGGACTGTAGGGAGCCGTATAGACACGTATGCTGATGTGTCAATTTGTATGAAGCCACTATTGGATTTTCGTGTTCCTTGAAATGGGAACCCGCCATGATATCGGTTGCTTTAGAATGAAATTTGAAATATAAGTATATCCATGTCTCCAGAAAGTCAAAATGAAATGCAGACGAATTTTCAAGTGGGTTCTAGATTTCTAGGAGCGGGAACCCGAAACAGGCACACCTAGTAGCTATCATGTTGATAAAGAAATTGAAATTATATTAGAAGACTTATTTTGAAATATTATTGTACGCTATATTAGCTTGTGAGAAGAGAAAGAGTTCTAAAATTCTTAAATCCAAACTTTCATTTATTTTCTTAACAGTTATTTTCTCAAAATGTGTGCTCAACGAACAACATCTAGTGACAGTACTTCAAAACATGGTCTTATACTTCTTGGAAATTCGGGTGTAGGCAAATCATTTTTGGGAAATGTTATTCTAGGTCGAGATGTTTTCGAACATGAATGTTCTTCAGGAAGTGTGACCCATGAAACAGAATTTGAAGATTATGCTGTTGGTAATGCATCATATGCTGTTTTTAATATTCCAGGTCTCATCGAAGCTGATCAAGAAGCTGTGGATCGAAATAAAGCCGAGATTTACAAGGCATTCCAACAGCGACCTGATTCTGTCGTTGCATTTGTCTTCGCGGGAGGGTCAGGTGGCCGTATCCGTGATGAAGATATCATTGCTTTCAAGGCCATAAACAATGTTTATAAATTTCAATCAAAATCTTTGCTTTTGATTGTCAATGACCTTCCACCTCGTCGTCCCCCTAAATACGAAGGTGGAACCTTGATCAAGTTAGAACACCATCTTGGTATTCAACATATTCAAGTCTGTTTTCTGGATCGGATCAACAACACAGATGAAGATGAACGAGAACAAATGCGCGCAAAATTATTTGATGCAATTATTCGATGCACACCTATTACCCATAAGAAAGATGGTGATATTCAATTGAATGTTGATGTACTAAAACAGCTGACAGATGAATCCAAGGCGCAACAGAAAACGTTTCAAGAACAACTCGCCAAACTGCAAACGGAAATCGATGCTCGACAAAAAGCATTCGATGAATATAAAACACAGCAGGCACAGCAACCACGTGAAATACATCATATTCGTGAAACATTTACTGACCGGCAGAGTGGTTTTAGCTGTACACTCTCATAATCGAATCGAATTAATGTGGACTAGCAACTGATGAACGGATACAATCATTTTTTTACTCTTTAGTTGTTTTGAATTTTCGTTTATTAAAAGAAATGTTAAGGTGCGGGTAATTCAAAAAACGAGTAAATTGTTTTTCTCTTCATTTATCGATGGTTAGATAGAGTTCGTTGAGCTCTACAAAACTGTATATTTGAAAAAAATTCCTACTCCCCTATTGGGTTTAAAATATTAAAAAAATAATCGATTTTTTGCATAATAAGCAAAATACCAATCATTTTCAAAAAAATTCGCTTTTTTGGGCCATTCTTATTGTTTCACCAGCTCGAAAAGACTTTTTCCGAATGCACCGTGTAAAACTGCATATAAACGATGGTGTGGCTGTGGGTGTGGAAAAAGCCGTCACCCACACCCAACCATTTGCCTGTCTTTTTCGAAGAAAACTGAAACTCGTTCGCGTAAGTGATTGATTTTTTCGGCAGCTAAGTTATTGACGGACACATTTTCTAAAAATGTTGCATGTAAGGAAAAAAACTAAGATAATATCAGCAATTTTAATGAACAAATGGATAATGTTATAGAGAAGTCTAACAATTACTACATAATCATCTTGTATGAAACTTCCTTCGTTCTTGTAATATGTAACTACTTCACAACGGAGAAATTCGTTTCAAATATATGCATATCTAGGTCATTTTTTTGGGTGTGGGTGTGGGTGTGGCTGTCGCTGTGGCTGTGGCTGTGGGTGTTTAGATCAAGAGTCACACTCACACCCATCCACACCCACACCACACGCTCCTTGACACATCCAAACTCATTTTATTTCGTATGACCATCCCTTCAGTCGAGGAAATTACTTATTTATTTGCTTTCTTTCTAGTCAGGAAGCCAAAACGAAACGAAATGAAAAGACTTGAAAGAGCTCTTGAATACACTCAAAAAATGAAAATTTTCGTGAATAATGAGCAGCATACATTTGAAAGACTCGAAAAAATCTGATGAAAAAGAAAAGTAATGTACAGTTATTTTAGTGAGCTTTCTCTTTCGTCGACCTTGTTACATGACATCTGCTTCAATCTCTTTATGAAAATGATTGCATAATCAGGGTGAAGATTGACGATGTAATGCCAATAAACATAAAGGTATATAAAGCAATGAGTTTCAGCAGATGTTCATTTTAACAAAGGATATTAGTTGGAAGTAAGTAACAGTAATATATAATCAAGTTTCTGCATCCATTTCGATACTATGCATTCTACTTGTTTATCGTATTCTGAAAAATCTCGATGAGCTCACGATTGTATGCTTGGTTCGTAATGTGTGTACAAAAGTAAATGCGATGATTGGTACTTTTGATCACAATGAAGTGAACTATAGCTTTTTCCTCGAGTCAGATTTTCCGTCACCTTTAAAAATGCTACTCAGTTGAAGAGGGAGTGTTACTTTTTTCTATTTTTCTCTATAATAAAGGCTAAGTACTGATAAAATCTTTATCTTTATATTGAAAAATAAATATGTGCAAATGAAAAAGTCTTTACTATTTAAGAAAAATAGAACGGCTACCCAGAATATGATTCCACGCTTTTACTTTCTTAGAGAAAAATTCATAACTACTCTGCAGAACGTTCGTTTGAATTAATTTTTGATTTCCTGGATAGAGGAAATATTTATCTATATAAGCATATTATTTTCACATGAATTCAATTAGTCAAGGGCGGAAAATCTAATTCCACGATTCCACTAACTCTTTTGATTCCGTTGACACTGACGGCCATAGGATTAAGCCCTCCCCTGCTTGAGCCGTATAGATATGTAGGCTTTCAATGGTTGAATAGTAGAATTCAACTTGAGGGTTAACATATACTTATTAATACAGAATCAATAAAACGTTTTTTTCATTTGAAACGTAGAAAGACTACAAGTAAGTAACTTGCTGTCAATAGCAGACTTTGGATTTTATTCATTGTCGTATGAAGACTATTTAAGCATGACTTTTACTTTTATCATTCATTATTTAGTTATCGTCATTTTTCTCATCCACCGTTCAGAAGAAATCAAATAATTTATTTGACTTTTATCTTCCTTATGTTGATTCACTTATATAGATGCTTGGATTCATGACGACAGTTCTCTTTTCTTCGAATAATTTTATTCTACTACAAATAAATTTATTCACGTAGTATATTTACATATAGTCGCCTGCAACTATATTGAACTAACGTAAGTGACAATGGGAGACGGTTGTACACATTCATTCAGGGTGGGTGTGGGTATGGATATGAAAGAAGAGGTCACCCACACCCACAGCCACATCCACATCCACAGCCACGCCCACAGCCACACCCACACCCTCAGGAACGGGGACCGATTTGAAAATTAGTCTAAATTTGGTTAGGACTGTAGGGAGCCGTATAGACACGTATGCTGATGTGTCAATTTGTATGAAGCCACTATTGGATTTTCGTGTTCCTTGAAATGGGAACCCGCCATGATATCGGTTGCTTTAGAATGAAATTTGAAATATAAGTATATCCATGTCTCCAGAAAGTCAAAATGAAATGCAGACGAATTTTCAAGTGGGTTCTAGATTTCTAGGAGCGGGAACCCGAAACAGGCACACCTAGTAGCTATCATGTTGATAAAGAAATTGAAATTATATTAGAAGACTTATTTTGAAATATTATTGTACGCTATATTAGCTTGTGAGAAGAGAAAGAGTTCTAAAATTCTTAAATCCAAACTTTCATTTATTTTCTTAACAGTTATTTTCTCAAAATGTGTGCTCAACGAACAACATCTAGTGACAGTACTTCAAAACATGGTCTTATACTTCTTGGAAATTCGGGTGTAGGCAAATCATTTTTGGGAAATGTTATTCTAGGTCGAGATGTTTTCGAACATGAATGTTCTTCAGGAAGTGTGACCCATGAAACAGAATTTGAAGATTATGCTGTTGGTAATGCATCATATGCTGTTTTTAATATTCCAGGTCTNCAAAATGTGTGCTCAACGAACAACATCTAGTGACAGTACTTCAAAACATGGTCTTATACTTCTTGGAAATTCGGGTGTAGGCAAATCATTTTTGGGAAATGTTATTCTAGGTCGAGATGTTTTCGAACATGAATGTTCTTCAGGAAGTGTGACCCATGAAACAGAATTTGAAGATTATGCTGTTGGTAATGCATCATATGCTGTTTTTAATATTCCAGGTCTTATCGAAGCTGATCAAGAAGCTGTTGATAGAAACAAAACAGAAATTTACAAAGCTTTTCAACAACGACCTAACTCTGTCGTTGCTTATGTTTTTACAGGTGGTTCGGGTGGTCGTATTCGGGATGAAGATGTTGTCGGTTTCAAGGCCATAAGTGCTGCATACAATTTTCAACCTGATTCATTGCTTTTGATTGTTAATGATTTGCCTCTTAATCGTTCACCTAAATATGAAGGTGAAACAGCCATCAAGTTAGAAGGTCTTGTGAATATTCCAAGTGCTCGCATCTGTTTTTTGGATCGAATCACTAAGACAGAACTACGCAGTAGTGAACGCGTTGGATCAGCTAATTCAAATGCGAGCGAAAAGAAGCATGTAGTAGATAAATTAGAAAAGAAGCTTCTCGGAGCGAAAAACATGTTAAAGCAGTATAGTGCCTCGATCGAAAAGCGGGCTCCATCATTGGGAAAATTTTTACATCCATCACAAAAGCAGACTGAACGAGAAAAAATGCGCCAAAAATTAATTGAAGCAATAATTCAATGTACACCTCAGGTTCACGAGAAACATGCTGAGATCCAGTTGACTGTTGATGAACTGAAAAGTCTTACGGAAGAATCTAAGAAAGCGCAACAAAAGATGGAGCAAGAACTTCTTAAACGACAAGCCGATATTGCTGCGCAGCAAAGAAAATTCGATGACATGAAACGCCAATTAGAGGAACAACCACGTGAAATACATTATTATCATAAGAAAATCATTGAAGGTCTGGTGGATGCTGTTAGTGATGATTTTGAGATCTGTGTTATTTCTTAATTATCACTATATTAATCTGTACTTTGAATAGATAAACATATTTTTGATATTCTTAACTTGAATTTGATCTAATTATTTATATTCCATATCTGTGAAAATAAAGCGATTAAAAACGGATTCGTATTGTATCCAACAAAGATAAAATTGAGGGTGTCGGTGTGGGTGTGCGTGTGGGTGTATTTAGAGTAGATTTTTTTAGAATTCCAAGCTACTTGCGATGCATTTCCTCTAGTTTGTGCGGATTGTGGTTTGATTGCCAAACCGTGTAAAAACGTACTCGATGGAATATCAAATTAATCATTAAATCGAAGTTACTCATTATAACTCTATGATTTAGAAGCTTGCTTTTCAATTTGGAACTGATGTTAAATTCCCACCTGCTTGTAACTATGTTTGTTTTCAATATCCTAATCGGAGTGAAAACACTTGACATTAATAAATTCATAGTTGTGCTTTACTTCAACTATATTTATCTTACAACAGAATTCTGTAAGAATAAATCATAAACAGTGATTATATTCAAATATTTTTCCCAACGCATTTCAACACATAACGATGCCTGTTAAAAAGCATTGATTTTTCTAATCAATGAAATGCATGCGTTATAATCTGTTTATTTCTTTAATCCATAAAGTAAATAGGTTTTTAGTGTTGATTTTTAGAAATTTAGTCATTCAACGCGGCAAAACAGCGCTTTGTCGTTTTTGTGTCTGTCTGGGTATATTCACTTTCTTGAAGTAATTAATGGCGTTTTTCACGCTTCTGTTTGTTGAGTCTTCATAAAAGTTGCAAACACGGTTTGGGAGCTCTTCCACTTCTCGACGTGTCATTAAATATAAAGAATAAAATATCTACAAATAATGCCAAATTTTGAAGTTTAGAACATTGTCTTTCAGATAAAAAAAAGAATGAACTGCCTATCATATATGTACACAGAGAACAATGCTTCGACATTTCGACAATTCTACTTTTGCATCGTAGGTTACGAATGAATACGTCATTGCATCGTGATTTATTCCTCCATTCTTTTAGCAGAACGTACAAACATAATTGAAAAGAATGGTTTATAAGACAACAACTATGCAATGTGTCTGTCGAAATCGAGCATAGAATTAACAATGAAAATCACATGCTCTGTTTCTTTTTTGCTTCCTTTCCACGTGTCAGACACCGTTTTTCGTATGTGCATAGCCTTCTGTTGAATACTTTTCAAGTCTCTCGGTTGGTAGAAGCGATGACAAAGCGTCTAAATGATTTGAAACAATCTATTTCAAATACATTTTTTAAGCGAAATATACAACACCGAAACTTGGAATTTTTCAGCATTGCATGGTACCATGATAGCACAGACGACATAAAAGATGAAGCACTACTAAAATTGCGTCAGAAAATCAATGGTTTACTAGAATTTTTGTCCATAAACGAACTTCATGAATACTTCGAAACGACTTCTGCAGATGATAATCAAATTCTCTTGATTGTATCAGCAAAGTTCACTAGCGATTTGTTAGCAATTGTTGAACAACTCGAACAAATAATATCAATTTTCATCTTCTCTGGTGGAATACAAGAAGAGGATGTGAAATATTTGGTTCCGAAATGCAGCAAGGTAAGTGTGAAAGCATCTTTGGAATACTATATGATATCAAAGCTTCATTTTAACTGGAGACAAAGGAGCTCCCAGAAAATAAATGACAGAATAGATTGTTGAAATCTCCTGAATAAAACCATTTTGACAGTATCGAAGTCGTAGTAGTTAATAATTAAATCAAAAAATATATATTGACTAAAAGTGATATAATGCAGAGAATTATGTAGCACTAAAATTTTTCATTTTGTAATTTATAGATCAAAGGATATTATTCGACGATTGAGGATATAATTCAAAATGTTGAAAATGAGCTAACGCGACTTTCTCAACTTGAAGATTTAGAGATATCCATTGACATATACGATCGAATCGAGTCTGGTGAAAATTCTAACGATAAAGCAAAATTTCTATGGCTTCGTTTACTAATAGACGTATTGATAAAGATCGAGGATCAATGTCCACCCGAGAAAATATTGACTGAGTATGAACGACACATTTCTAGAAAACTACAGCAAAATGATGAAATATCTTTTCGAGAGTTCACAGATAAATATATTGCAAAGATTCCTGTACGGCAGTTTGTTGCCGTTTGCAAGCAGCATTGTGAAGGAAACCGTGCTCAACTAGCAAAGTTAATGAAATTCGAAGAAACATACACCCCATCACAATCGCTCCTATGGTTTACACAGGAACCCTTCATTTTTCGTGTGCTGAACAAGGCACTACGCTTTCAACATGTTGATATTCTTTATCAATATCGGTTTCTTATTCGTGACCTTGCTACTCAGTTAAGCACACAAAAGAATGACGAAATGAACTTTCATGTTTATCGCGGTCAGGTAATGACTAATGAAGAATTACAACAGGTAACGAAGCCAACAAATCAATTTGTAAGATTTAATTCATTTCTCTCGACATCAAGAGATAGAGAAATTGCGCAAGCTTTTGCTATTTCAAGTCTGATCGATGAATCAAGGCAACAAATGGTTTTATTCGATATTGAAATCAATTCTCAGATCGATGATACTAGAACATATGCCGATATTTCTCAGTGGAGTACATTTCCCGAAGAACAAGAAATCTTATTCATGTGTGGTAGTGTATTTCGACTTACGCGTGTCGTTCAGCATGAATCTGGATTGAAAATAATTGGACTAGCTCTTTGTAACGAGAACGATGATGAACTTCGAAGAGTATACGAGGATTTGAAGCATGAATATTTGAGTGATGCAAGAAATATAAGTCTTCTTGATCTGGGAAACATTTTGAAAGATACTAATAGAACTGTAGAAGCAGCAAAATATTATTTTGAATTAATGAATGCTGTTGAGGACGGCGATCCACTTATTCAACGATGCCTTCACAATTTAGCTTTACTCCGATATAAACAATGCGATTATGAATCGACACTGGAATACTTACAAATAGCTCTCGATCTAGAAGTAGTATCGTCGGAACGTGAAGAATCGTTCATCTGTAGTATATATAATTGGATTGGCAATGTCTTTTTAATGAGACAAAATTTCGATCGAGCTTTAGAAAATTACAATGAGGGTCTAAAACATAAATCAAAGATTGATTCTCGTGATCAACTTGGTGAAATTAAGCTGTATGCAAACATAGCTAACGTATATACTTATCAGAAACGCTATGAACTGGCACTAGAAAAACACTTGGAGTGTTTGGCGATGAAGCAAGAAATTCTCCAAGACTTTCAGCACCCGATGATTGCAGCATCTTATGTACATATTGGTATTGTGTATACAAAACTAAAGCGATATCAAGAGGCTATCGATATACTAGAAAAAGCCTTGAATATTCAGTGTAAAGTACTTGGTACTGATCATCTCGATGTTGGAGTAACACTCTACAATCTTGGTGTCGCATATGATGAACAGAAAAATTACGATCGAGCAAGTCAATATTATTTGGAAGCAGTAGAAAACTTTCCAATCAACCATGCCTATTTCAAGAGAGTACAAGTGGCTATGAAGGAAATTGAAAACAAAACTCACTAAGAACACAAATTCATTTTGACATGCGTACAATGTACGATGACGACGCTAATAAAGAATGAACAAATACTATGGAATCCCTAATAGTTGAAAAAGGTGTTATGTTGTTTATTTATCATTCTCTTGAATTGCCTCTATCTATTTTAAATTCTATTAATTTAAATAAAATTTTCATTTAAAATATTCTTGCTGCAGCTTATAAAGAAGGAATGTGGGTGCGGGAATATGGGTATTCGCATCAATGAATCCCTGAACAAAACCCTCAGACCCATACCCACACCCTCATTGTGAATGTGAGTATTTCATCGATACACACTCAGACATATCCGCACTCCCATCCACACCCACACCCACATCGGGCATATTACAATCAAATACAAAGGAGCACAATATTTAGCTGATGAATAACCAAATAAGACGGTGATCTTGTCTTTGTTTAGATCTAGTTCATATATTTATCTCAAGTTTTTCTCATAGGCACTCACTAAACCTGATCTTGTTATTAATTACATTTATCTGAAGCTTTTAGACGGCATACGGGAACTAGTCAAACGTAATCAACAAATGAATAGGCCATAAATGTTGTCTTGTGGATGGCAATTTAAGACTTAGCTGAAATCATGCGACGATCATGTAACTCACTGAATATCTTTGATGCTTTTTCTTGTTTGACAAATAAAGAAGCAGTATTTTACTCACTTAAGGATATGTTGAATAATCAGTACGGTATGTCAGAATCTATTCTATAGATGACTAGAAGATATTTCATTGTGCTGTATTGAAACACTACTGGCAATTAGAATGAATTTGCACCTGTAAGTTGCTTCTATTTTGAAGCTTGTTCACGATGTGTCAGAAATTCAATTTAAAAGTGAATACTTCAATTGTTTGTTTTCTTATATCCTCTGGTACGCTCTTACATAGAAATATCTACCATTTTTAGTCGTTATGCATTGTTTTTCTGCTACATATGAGCCATGCTTTAACTTTATTCTTTCGACGCATAGATCAGATATACATTTAACTTGAGAATCTTTCTATTGGAATATACTGAACAACATGATACACGAGTATAAAAAGTCATCTTGATCATCGTCCAGATCATTTATAAAAATATGTATTTTAGAATTTTCAGTTTGCGTTATTTTCTCAAATCTCCTTGTTTTTATTCATGTTCAATCTTATGTGTGCACTTCAATGTATGAGAGTATTTCATTAAATATATCGAAAGTCTGAAAGGACCAATCACAACAAAAAATGACTCCTACACTTAGCATTAATTTCGAAAAATAAAATCAATGACGCTAGACCAACTCCACACGGAAATATTCTCAAAATGAAATGATATCACATTTTTTTAGCTGACCAATGTTTTCGCACGACATGAGATAATTTCTCTTTACGAGAAATTTGAATCGATAGAAAAAAGTGGTTCTTATGCTGCATGCTATTATCAATCGAATGGTTAGTTGGAAGCGAACGCCTGATTAAAGAGAACATGCTATTGGTTACGCTACAAGTTTTGATAGTGACATTTCTTACAAATTCGAATTAAAATAGTCAAAACAGTTCAGTTTTTTAGACGAATATGATTAAAAAAGGATATTATTGTTTATTATCATATTATCAAAATATGCTGTTTTAACTGCAAACACAATAGGAGAGTCGTCAACTTCACCATATTCGAGACGTGCATCTTTGGTGAGAAAAAGAAACTCAATCCATGCTATACAAATAATAGATTTCGACACTGTTTTATGCTTACAACTAATCATAAGTTCGCTTGCATTTATCTTTTACATAGGAGCAATTTTAAGTTTAAATTCATTTAGATTTCATCGGTTAAAGTCTCTAATATGTATATGTAGGTAGCATGTATTACTAGTCATTGACAAATGTCGAAAACGTATACTTTTGTTCTGCCTTGTACATTGAAGGAAAAACAAATCTTGAGTCACAACAGCATGTATCATCTAATCAAAAATCGGAAAGCTTATTTGAATATTTTGTTTCAAAGTCATAGCTACATTACTTCGATAAACCTAAACGTAAGATAAAATACAATCAACAGTGTGCCGTTGTAATTTTTTTTCCCATTTATCCGACTTTGGACAGTAAACCTCTACATAAAATTTTTTTTAAATGTTGATTATGACAGAATATCAAGCGGAAAAGAAGTCATAAAAGAAGTGTGAATACTACTTAAATTATCACAACGTTCCTAAAACTGATGTTTTTATATTTCAGTGTTACAGATATGACACATGTCCAACAAAAAAAAACAACATTTCATGATAGTCTAATTTAAAACAGATTATTTTACTGATGATCAACTTTGATCTCAATGGTTGTCTATGATGAATGAAGGTAGATATGATTGTTAGCGTTGTTATTCACTCTATCGATCATTTTTTTAATTTGATTTGAAAATAATCAATGAAGATAGTATATGTGAAATTCACTTCTATATGAATTAATGTGCATTTCAATCAAGATTTCAAGTATAGATACATAAAAAAATAAACAAAACAACTCTATTTAATCTATATGAACATAGTTTATCCACGAATCCAAAATCGAATAGTTTCAGTGCCATCTAAGTTCTCTGTGCAACTACGTGAATAATTTGACGTCATCCATGTAATCATGTCTTCTCTGGTCGTCAAATAATCATCCGATCGACCAGGTTGTAATACCACTTTTAAAGCTTTTAAATTTGGCATTCCATTTATTATATCATCTATCATTGATCGATCATTGACAACAATTTGAAGAACTTCACATTGTTTCGCCCATGACGAGCGAAGTAAAATCGCACACTGTTCACTATTGAAACAGCGATCACGTTTTAGATAATGGTAACTCTGTAAATCGAGTCGAAGACGATGAATTGAACTAATATTAATATGCAATGGTAAATCTTGAATAATAGATGCATCCCAATACCCGATTGTCAGTGAACGAAGACGAGATGTTTTATTGATTAAATCATTTAATTGCAATAGGGCAATGCTGGCATCGATATCGAATTCACTGCCCACATCGAGAGAAATCAATCGATCGAGTCGTGGAAGAATAGATAATAATTGAGCCGAGTAAGGAATTGTTACTTCAAGACGTCGAATATTATGAAAGCAAATATGATCTAGTAATGAATCATATAATGACGAACGAGAATATATCAATTTAGTTGGATGATTGTAACATAAATAATTATTTTCATCGGAACATGTTGATTTTGTACGAGGATTTGAGTTCCATATAGCGTATGTGTAAAATGAGAAAGTATATGGTAAAGTGTGTAAATAAACCATGATTTTGTCGTTTGATAAAGCCCAATGACATCGTATGAACCATTGGTGATGAATGAGCCAAAATGGAGTTCGATATGAATCGATAATTTCATTCACTTCTTCGTCTGTATCAGCTAAAAAAAGCATCCAGAATCGAAATATTTTTAATTTTGGCAAATAATCGATAATAAATTGTTCCCATCGATGACCATTCATATTATGTTTTCCAGTTTGAAGAGTTAAAGAAGTTAAATTAGGCATATTTTTGAATAAATTAATTGTTCCACTAGTTAAATGATCAACGATGAGGCGCAAAGACGATATTGATTCGATGAAAAATGGAAATTGTTGATTCTCAGGCATTTGATCAATACGAGCAATTAAATGTCGCATATTTGGTGTAGATCGAAATAAACGATTTAAATCATTAAAATCAAACACAATATTTTCAATCCATAAATGTTCGATCGATTTAGATCGAATATTTGGAATCGTAAAATCTGAGTTGTATTGAAAATGGAAATCGAGATGACAATGTGTAAGTTTAGGCAAACGCCATATGCGATTGATTAGATTGCTTGATGTTTTATGCTGAAAGACTACATGACAATCGATTAAATCAAAATGAGTAAGATGTTGAAGATGAGCAAAATGTTTGACGAGTTTTTTAAGAGTTTCAATTGAAGAAATATGGTAAAGTGATAATGATTTTAATTGAGTAAATCGATGAAATGCTCGAGGATTAGAAAGGAAGATGTCGATTTCCTCTGGTGTATCATCATCATCGGAAAGACGTAGTGCAGTAATATGATCAGCAATCAATGGAAGATTTTGTTGGCAAATAGTATTAAAATCATTTTTGGGTATTGATTGAAAATCGAGACCATGATTTTGAAAATGTGTAATAATAAGACCATTAAAACGAGAATTGAGTTGATAAAAAGCTCGAAGTAGATGGACACTTTGTAGATATTCGAAGAGATTGAGCAGTAATTCATTACTTAACTGTTCCAGATTCATTAGTTCCTGTGTATTCATCTTCGGTGTGTGCTAAACAAATTAGAAAAGCATAAAAATATGTTCTAACTGTATGTCTAATTTATACTTGGGTTTTAAATGAGATGACAAAGTAAACTAAACAGCAACCGTTGATAACGATTCGATATGAGTAGAACACAGACGAACAAAGACAATACACCATGAACAGTCTTCTCTGCAGTGGAATCGTCAGTCAATAAAAATAATCATTCGTCACTATCAGTCCGTTCAATTCGTTATCAATTCTACCGAGAAAATTGTTTTTCTTTCCTCTCTTCTTTGTTGTGCTACGGATTTTTGAGAAAAACGGACGATTATCATTGGTTCAACGAAAGAGCAACAGTTGATTGATAGATAACCAGTAGCTTCATCGCACTTCTATTTTCAAAATGTGAATCGTTTCATCACAAATTGAACGACTAATTATTCGAATAGTTTTCATTTTGTGCTCCACTTATCCAAGAAACATTTTAAAATTTAAACTAAATATTCCGAAAGAAGAAGGAAGAATATAGGGATCAATTTTTTTCTCAGAAGTCAATCGTGTACTAATCATTTTCGTGTTTTGATTATCAGAAGCTTTTTATTATTATTAAGATTGCAACACATATCAGAAAGTGCATCGAAATCGACTTAGTTACTCTTTTATCCATATGAAATGTTCTAAAGAGTTTCGATCATAATCGTCGCATTCAAACATTCTTAATAGCCTTTTGATTCAAATATTGAATTGAATCACTTGCATTTTTCTATCATATCAAATGCTTAGGGCATACCAAAAGTATGCGCAGTGACGCTTTAATTCTGTATACTACGCTTAAATAGCTTTCTTTCTATATAATCTGATACAGAAAAAAAGCTCTATCTTTTTATGCTATTTGATCGTACTTCAACTAATATTAAATTATTTATAAAACACATTTCGCCTGGTTATGTGCTGGTTGTACAGGATTGCAAAAAATCTTTTTCCGTGGGGGCCTGAAAAATCTTTTTTATCTGTCGAACTTGGTACAACTCTCTTTGCTGATCATTTTGTAAAAAAATCTGTTGAACTTGATCAATAAATAACGGTGTTAGGGTCAAACTACTGAAAATTTCAAAATTCTCGGATTGATATAGCTACGATATTTTGGAGTATTTTGATCTTAGTATGGCTATTTATTGATCAAATTAAATCCCGTTTTTGACGGGCTTGCATTTGGTATCAACTTAAATGTTGATATAATTTGCCGTTGAAGCTGCACCTTCATGTTAAAAGATTTTTTACAACCAGCACATAACCAGGCGAAATCTGTTTTATAGATAATTTAATATTTTAATATTAGTTGAAGTACGATCCAATAGCATAGAAAGATAGAGCTGTTTTTTCTGTATCAGACTATATAGAAAGAAAGGTGTTCAAGTGTAGTATACAGAATCAAAGCGTCACTGCCCATACTTTTGGTATGCCCTAAGTAGTATATATGTAAACATACACAACGATTTCCTATGACATTAATATAAAAATCACTTCATGACAGTATCAATATTCAGCATATTATAGTTTGCATCTTATTTTGCAAACAAATTAACATTAAGAACCTTAATAATATTATTTATAGATTTGCACAAAAATCAATTTTCTTTAACTGTTTTTTCGATAAAAAAAGCGCTTCCTTGATGTCTTAGTTCGCTGTTTTATTTCAAAACAATTTTATCACTGTCAGCCGTCAACTTATAAAAATAGCCTTCTTTCTTTTGAATGGATTTTTCAACACGAGAAAATAAAGCTTGACTATTCGAAATATTCTAGCCATTCGAATTTTGCTGAAGTTTTTTGGTAGCTGTAGAATAAGCAGTTTTTTCTACTCATACTATATGAGGTTACGATGTGATACTCATGACAAAAAACATCGTTTCGCCTACAAACAATGAAAAAGATATTCATTTTAAGTCTACCAAAGCAAACTCCACAGGGTTACGTTTGTGATTTATTCAAACATTAAATTATCCGATAGTAAAATCGAAATATTTTTTTTCTCGATTAAACATAAGATTTATATTTTAGTCTTATCTTTCTGAGACAATGCAAGTAGCATCAAGATTGCATCGTATTGATTTGACATCACGACACCATTTTGAATCTTTAAGTTCGTTACTTGCTGATTGTCCGTCTTTTTTCTTGAGTAGTGCTTTCATGTTTACAGATTGGTTGAGTGTACCGCATGCAGCAAAGGCAATATCCGCCAAAGCTGTATGAACATTTGTAGGCATTCCTGGAACATATGATGACGCACATTCACTAGCTGCTGGATATAAATATTTGTTGAACATATCAATGGCTTGAGTATTTGTAAGGCATGCTCTTTGTGTGTTAAAGTGACAATCGTTGAGAATACCTTTTAGCTTCAAACTATAGTTCGATAAAAATATTATTAGCATTCTGGCGTTGTGAGTTGAAACCGATGCCAATAGTTGGAATGCCTTTGGTATCATAGTAGCAACACAAACGCGTACCTTCATTAATTTTTGTTTGATCAAAACTACATTCGCTGGCAACATCAACTAATACGACTAAAAGAATAATAGTAGCTATGCCTTAGAAATGTATATGCATACATATTCATATGAAGCAAAAAGGAAGTATTATTGGGTGTAGATGTGGGTGTGTGTGTAAATTGCTGTGGTACACGAACACCCACACCTACACCCTCAAGATTCGCCCCATTTCTATAAGAGTATTGAAAAAAAAATATTAAGTTTTGTTTTCTTTAAATCATTCAAATGATTAGCAAAATATAGTAATAAATCGTATAGAAATGAATATTATTTTAATCTTGTTTACCGAAAGCTACTTTTTCTAAAATATTTGAAGATTCTATTACAATTTTGTTTTTCAATGAATATAGGATTTTTTCCTCTTCTCATCGAAGAAGGATAGAAATGATTCGTTATAAAAAAGATGAGTGTATTTATTTTCCTATGTAGCTTCAAGATCGTTTTCTAAATGTGAAAACCATAAATCCGCTACTGAATTTTCGAAAAATTCACTTCTGAATACTTGAAACCTAAAACGAAACACTTAATTTATAACCGCAAGAGGGAAAATGTTTCAACTGTGTTAATGATTTTTTCAAAAAGGAAAAATCACTTTTTCTTTTTATTGTTTTTGCGCATTTCAATCTCAATTAGAATTCTTGTGTCAGTTGTGACATTTGTATTACATTTTCGAGGACCCGTCGTGCACATCGCTTGGATTTTATTGTCAGCTTGTGACTGTTAATCGAAGTAGCAGTATTCATTGCGCGATTCTATCGTCTATTCTTGTCTACTTGCACGTAAAATAATTTCGTATAGAAGGGAGAAGTATGAAAGCGTAACATAGGAAACAGAATGAACATCGAGTTACTTCAACAGCTTTCCTTCGAAGCACTTTGGTATTTTTGTTGTTATGCATAGATGTTCATGCGTGTAAAAATCAATGATGTAGTAAGCATCAAAAAGAAGTTACTAGGTGTATGTTATTTGACGAAGAACGATGAAGTTTATTTATTCTTTATACTTGACGACGAAACGGAGAGGACGTATAAGAACAGAAAGAAAAAGAAAAAGAAGATGAGCGATGGCAAGATGAGGTTGAAACAAAATGTAAGAAAAAAGCAGCAGCATGTTTTCATACATATCATGCTCATTTGTTTTATCAAAGAAATCTAAGTATATTTTACGTGGAGCAAATTTATAAGTCACTCCTCGATTGTTTTAATAAGTGGTGAATGAAAACAAAACAAAGCAAAATATAATAGATTAAGACTCAATCTAATGGTGAATAAGTTAGCTCGAAAGCACTTTCAAGCTAGCATTGCTTGTTTTCTGATTAGAATTTGATGTATAATATTAGACATTTGGCGCTAAGTATTTCAAAACATTTCATGAAGCCTGGAAATCGAAAAGACTACCAAAAAGTATAAAAGCAGTAGTGATAAGATAATTCAATGCTTCATGATTTCAATAGAAGTATCCGAGTAGATCATAACAAACTCTATGTGATGTAGACCACTATTAATGTTTTTATGAGGGGTGTGTAAAGACTGAGCTTTGAAAATTCTCTCCATTACTACGAATTCAATGAAAAACTACAAAAATAAATTTCCATTGAATCGGGATTCATGCGAAGATCTTACACATCTCTCTCCCACAATACCCTTCAACTATTTTTACATGTACAATCTAAGTCCCTGAAACAACACATTAGCTGTACTTCCTAATCACCTTTCAGATCACTGTTACTTCACTAAATAATCGACCAAAGACCATTCGAAATACGTCAAACTGATGAAGTGGAAATGAATCATCAACAATGATCCCGATGAGAACTATGAACGATAAAAATAAAATAAAATCACCATAAATCTATAACCAAAAGAAATCGTCACCGCTTAACCTCGACATAAATAGATTACTTCACTGAAAAATATTGTCACGATGATACAAAGAAATTCAAATGACTAAGACTTTTCACAAAAATCGTCTGAATCTTTTGGTTTTCTAAATTAGTCTCTAAGCTTTCCTTCTCACTTCCAGATAATATTCTCTCGCTAAATTATTTTCCAGATATCTAAACAGATTTTTTTGCAACAATAGAAATCCTTTGTAATGCCGCAAGAAACTGAGAGAATATACCTTCTGCTGATTCTTCGAGCAACTGTGCAAATGATAACTAATATGTAGTGCTTGAGAAAATGGATACGTGAAGAATACATGTCCGGGAGCAGAAGTATTATGACAGTTCTAATGATACTACCTAGAAATTGAAGTGGATATCTAGCAGGTACGAATCCTCAATTCCACGAGGTGTTGAGAGTAGATGTCATCTAGGTATTTAACTCTTTCTTTAGATAATATCAGTAGAACTGTCGAAGGTTTTTCTTTTCTTGATATATTTCGTGCATCTAGAATACAGATAAAATGAGAGTCTAGTTTTTTCCGGAGGATTTTTTTCGAAACTGAATAATCACAGTTCTCTCATTGTTAATGTTTCACTTCATAGAACTTTGTTGAACTAAGATGGAATATTGGCGGAGCAGTGATTGTAATTATTTCTGTCAGTTTTCCGATCAGATATTGATCCTAAATGCTGGCCATTCCTTTACCTTCTCACGTAGGAACTTTTCAAATGCTATTACCTATCAGGTGTATGAAAATGCTTTTCGATAGTATCGATAGGCATCGGAAGAATTCTCAAGCTGTCGTTTTGAGCAGTCTCCATTCGACACTACTGACTTTCTCAGAACAAAGAACATCCATTTAGTAAGAAATAGTTTAAGTTCTTAGCACACGACACTGAAATTAAGTTATCGCCTGTAATAGTTTCAGTAAATAAGTCTGATTGAAGTTTTGTTAGTATCATCGATTTTTTCTTTTAAAAAAATCATTCGACATCAGTTTTTCCCATTTCACTTAATAACGGACATGAATACACAATAGCTCACTATGGGCAGACTTGAAGCATAGTTCCTTTAGGGGTGTGGTTGTGTGTAAATTGCTTTGGTACACGAACACCCACATCCACACCCTCAAGATAGTGACCAAATTTATCTTGTTCCAGAACATGATAATGCATTTTCAAAACCAAGCAATGTTTCATTCGTTATCAAATCTGATCATCCAATCGATATATCGTCTTCGTCATTGAGTTTCATTTCAAAATTAATTGATATTGAAGAGGATGACGTTGATTTGCAATTAGATAAAGTCGATGGGAAAATACCTCGACAGCAAGATTCACGATTGTATGAAATAATGCTTTTTTTCTATTGAAATTTATTTAGAGTTTTCTTTAGATGTCATCATAATCGGCATGGCAAATGTCTTCATTGTATACCAATAGAACCATACGACGAAGAATATTTGAAAAATCATAGTCCACCTATTAAACATATGTCGTTTCAAGCTTACATTAGAAAATTACAAAATGAAGCATCTGTTGAAAAGTAATAAATATTGTTTTTTGATAAAGTTGACCTTTGATATTTCTCTTTTGTTTGGTAGAAATACATTTTCTAGCCTCGAAAATATAAGTTGCTCGATCAAAGAACAATGTTTGACAGGTCATCCACCATGGCCAAAAGATATAATTTTAGCCTATATAAGAGAAAACTCTCATCAGGCATATTTATATAGGTGTTTGTTCAACATGTCAACCGAATCAGATGACACTTATGAGTCAGGTAGAGAGTTTCTGAACAAAAACAAAATACAAACATTAACATTTGATAACCATAACCATGAGGTCTTTGATCAGCCAAAAAAATCTGTTAAAATCTCATTCAATGCTTTGAATTTGTTTTTTGTTTATAGACACATCGTCATGTTGATAACATCACGTTTGAAAATGGAAATATGGTCAATCGTTTTCTTGAATATTGGCGTTCATCAGGCCATCAGCGCATTGGTTTTCTCTATGGTCGATATGAAATCTACGATGGTGTTCCGCTTGGTGTTCGAGCTGTTGTTGCTGCTATCTATGAACCACCACAAGTAAAAACTTAGCTTTGAATTTCATTTTGTTTTTAAAAGTAGAATTCTTTGATATAGGAAACATCAAAAGATAGCGCTCAATTGATTTTCCCTGATCCACAGGAGGCTACTATTGATAAACTAGCCTATCGTCTTGGTATTCGTCGTATTGGATGGATATTTACGGATCCTATTTCGAATGATAAAAGATCTGGTACTGGGCCTGTTATTCATCATCGAGGAAGTGCGGTATGACAAAATAAAATTGGCATAGTTCAAGTTTCTTCAAACATAATTTTTCGAATAGAATACATTGTTTTTAACTGCTCAAGAATGTATTATGGTCGGTTGGTTTCAAAATAAAAATTTGAATAAGTGTAAATACTCATCCGATGGATATTTTGGCTCGAAATTTGTTACTGTTGTGGTGATCGGGAATGCAACTGGACAAATTCAATTTGAAGGATATCAAGTATCGAATCAATGTATGGCTTTAGTTAGATCAGAAATTTTACTACCGACGTTTGATGCACCTGAATTAGGTTATATTAAAGAAACAAGTCCTGAACAATATGTTCCTGATGTTTATTTTAAAGTAAGCATTAAACGAAATAAGGATTCAATAAAGATTTAGTTTCTAATAGGAAAAAGATTCTTACAATAATGAAATCATGAAAATTGGGCGTCCATTGCCTTTAGAATATTTAATTCTTGATGTTCCAACAGGTTTTCCAACAGCAAATCATCAAATGAAATCAACATTTAATGATACATGCTCAATCATGAAAACACCATTCTGCATTGAAAAGCGAACGCGAACTGATGAATTACAAGTAACACGATTATATGTCAGTAAAACTTAGTAAATAGATTTCCTGTATTCAATAGGATATGGATACTTTAGCTTTATATTTACAAAAATTCGCAGAAATTGATGTTAAACGAGCAAATTCACTCACATATAAAACAACAGATATTTTAGCTGCTCTTCATCTATTGCGATATTTGGTAGCTAATGGTATTTTTCAGTTTTCTATGGTAAGACAAAAGAGAAATTCGAAAGGTCTCGTCGACTGTTACAATAGCATTTTTTTTTAATGATAGGTATATATTCTATAAAATAACACAATATTTAGGATCAAATCGATCCATTATTTGATGCATTACGAAACAATGATCTAAATGGACTTACAACATGGATCGAAAGTGAGGTATGGCAAACATTACTTCAACTTCTTCAAATTGAACGTACGTATACATATTCTCTAATCGTAAAACGATTTTATTTGAAAAATAATTACTGTAGTCCCAGGCTTATCATCATCTATGAAGCAATTAACTCCTACGGTTACCAATGAATAGTCATCAAATTGGACATGTTCAGAATGTACTTTTCTCAATGATAATTCCAATCAAACGTGTGATATGTGTTCGTTAGGTAGAAATGCGGCCTCTTAATTTTTTACAATTTGTCATCATTTGAATTAATCTAAACTATTAAAACCAATGCAATCAACTTAGAACTGAATATGTTTTATTTTTATTTTAGATTAATTTTATTTTCTAATAAAAAAAATGAACGTCGGAAGTAATCGATTGAATCTTGCTGGTGCTAGCAGCAGTGATGCTTCATCAGACAATACTCTTCCTCCACAGTATAAAGTACTCACCTTATCGTTTAATCAAGATTGCACGTAAGACATCCGATAATTTGTTAACAAAAAAATTAAGTAATACTCTAAACTCTTCTTTTACAGATTGTTGGCGACGGGTACACCAACTACTTATTCTTTATTTACCATTTCTCAAGATAATAAAATTGGTGAAATTCATAATTGTGGTAAGAATAAGAAAATTGGTTGGTTTCGCTAGAAATTGCTGATTGTTAAAAATATTTAAAAAAGTGTTCGCTGTTAGATACATACATGTATATGACTATATTTATGATATTGCTTAAAATCAGTCGATGAGTTTTTCGCAATGTAATCGTTTTAATTTATTTAGAGATCCAACCTATTATAAATATCCCATATCTCCGTAAGAAAAAGAATATCTATTTCATTATCAAAATAAAAATATATTTGCTTATCTCTTTTTTTAATTTTAATTTTCTCTTATGGCTTATACTGAAATTTCCACTATTGAACGATTATTTTCCAGTTCGCTAATTAAAGTGGTTAGTAGTCAAGCGCCACGTAAATTAATAGTATGTCATTTCATGAGAGGTACAGAAATATTATCATACTCATTTGTCAATACCATTCTTGCTGTTAAACTTAATCGTTCGGTAAAGAAACAGAATTTTATTTCTTTTGAAAGAAATCAAGAAATTTGCTTGTTTGCTTTTTTTTAGAGACTTGTCGTTTGTTTGGAAGAAAGTATTTATATTCATAACATGTGTGATATGAAATTATTGCATACAATACGTGATATACCGTCAAATCGTGATGGTCTTTGTGCATTATCAATCAGTGATGAAAATCCTTATTTAGCATATCCAGCAACTACAGTAACCGGTGAAATACAAATATTCGATACAGTCAATTTAGTTAGTAGAAGAGATTTTTTGCGATATATAAAACGTTTTTATTTCTTTTTTTGAATTCTATTTAGAAACCTGGTATCCTTATAGCTGCTCATAAAAGTCCACTTGCTGCAATGGCATTTGATATGGCCGGTGCTAAAATAGCGACGGCATCGAATAAAGTAATTTGTTTTCGAAATATACATGAAATAGTTTTACGAAACATATTTTCTTTTATCCAGGGAACAGTTATTCGTATTCATAGTAGTATTGATGGTTTGTGTCTCTTTGAATTTCGTCGTGGAGTTCGAAGGTATCCTTGAATAACTTGTCTTAGATTATGTCTTAGTATAGAATATTTTAGAGTTGCAACTGTCTATTCATTAGCATTCAGTCCTGATTCCATGTATTTAGTAGCATCAAGTAATACAGAAACAATACATATATTTCTATTAGTCAATCAAGAAGAAAAGTACAGAAATGATTTTCTATTGATTAATTCTATTTGAATTTTTTTAAAGACCTCCAGAAGTAGCAAGTTCATGGATGAATTCATTTAGTCGTATGTTCGGTGGCGTGGCATATTATTTACCGAAACGTACAGCAGAAGTTTTAACACAAGATCGTGCATTTGCAAGTGTACATTCACAATCAGCAAGAACAAAAACAACCGTTGCAATGAATATGTAAATCATATATGAGAAATCTATTTTTTGAAAAATATTTTCGATCTTTTCAGTTTTAATAAAACATTAAAATTATTTGTTGCTGGTTATGATGGTGTTTTGTCTGTTTATGAAGTCAATACGAATGAAGGTAGAGAATGTAAACAAATCAGTCAACATCTTCTATTTAATATGACTCAAAATTTAAGTAATATGCAAACAATAACAACGAATGATCGACAAAATTCACTTGGTAAGCTCTTTCTAAAAATAAATTATTTGAAAATTGATTCTTTCGATTAGGAGGTTCCAAACAACTTTATCCAAAAAATACGATACGAAATGAAAATCATTCTATTTCAGTTTCATCGAAACTAACAAATGAAAAACCGTCGAATGATCAGCCCTTTTCTACTGCAGTGGACGACAAGGATTTTCCCAAATTGCCATTACCACCAAAATATGACGACGAATAATTAATACGCATCTAAAAGTGCTGTATATGATAATCTTTGTGTGTGTGTGTGTAACTTCAATATTATTTTATAAAAATAAAAATAAGGATAATGAATAAATATAAACATTAGATTCTCTTTCAATTAACGCCATTTATTCGATATATGGACGTTGTTAAAGAGAATATTCGTACCGCATAGAAAGAAATGTAAATTTTGCCTACACATTTTAGAATATTTGACGGGTGTGGGTGTCTTATATATACCATAGTCCCACACCCACCCACCCACACACACACCCAACTGATGAGTCCTTTAGCAGGGACGAAACGCGTCTTGGTAGCTATTACACACCCACACCCACACCCAGCCACCCTGTTCACATGTAATAAATCAACGTAAAAAGTCGGCGTATTTCAGGTACTGTGCATAATTTCGCTTTACAGACGCGGAAAGTTGGTTGTTCTTCATCAGGTGCGCAAAGGAAGTAAAGAAAGAAAGAGCCGTTCTCTCTCGTTAAAATGATCGTGCAAATGAGGTTTCAATTTTTTTCATATAACATAAGACATAACGTTAAAAGGTAAGAACTGTAAAAGTGTACAGCATTCTTTCAGTATTTATTTTCAATGGTGTACCAGTTACTTTCATTATACTCCTTTTGCACTTTTACATTATTATGGTTATTCTTTACAGACATTAATTACTTATATCTACAGCCCTGTCTTGAATTATGGAATAGCAAGTATACATTGCATCTAATGATACCAGCAGTCACATATCCAAGATTTCGGAGATGCTACCACATCTACCGCGGGAGATGCCGCATCTCGCGCGAGAGATGTGGGTGTGGTGGATGCGCATCTCTAAAGGAGATCTTACATCTCCAGCGGTGAATGAACGCATCTGCTGTGGGAAATGTAGTAGCATCTCCAAAATGTTGGATATGTGACACCACTCATGGAAGTTTCCCCGTACTAGTTCTAATATATTCTGACATCTTTTCCTTCACTTTTCTATTCGTACTTCGAGTTTGTCACGTCATATTTTTTTTCGCATTTTTCATTGACTCATGAGTAATACTGCTGATTTTGCATGTTGGAAGAAGTATTTTCGCACAGTACTTAAAAATGCAACCAACAGTTAACAGCATTAGGCTGATTTTTTCCCGTCTATTTCTTGTACCCTGTAGACATCGATTAGTCCATGGTTCCGAAACAAATCTTGTTATTGACTCATTTAATCACTCGAACTTCTACAGCACCTACGAAGTGATGTAGTTTTCAATGTAAGAAAAACAACTTTATACAATTTTCAATATGGTGAATTAGCATTCCTATCTACACCAATAGTTCACAAATTGATTTATGGATTTTTGTTGCGACTATGCGGCGAAGATAACTGCCAAACCTAAAAATCGAATAAAAATGTTTTAAGGACCCAATCTGTCTATGAAGTATGATTCTTCGTACAACAGAATAAAAAAACATCCAATAGTTTAAGTTCCCTCACCATTTCTTTTAGACAAGAACACTTGTTCTTGTCTTACATAAGTACAATCAATAGCATAAATAATAATCCCAATAGAAATATTCTTTAGACTTAAGTAGTCAAGTGAGTGAACTATTAGTCTGATTTATCACAAAATGAGTGGAAGTTCACTGTCTAGAGAGAAATCTTTATAAAAAAAACTTTCTTGAACTTCAATATCTATAGAGCGTATAGTAATCAAAATAAAATAAAAATGTCTCGATAATCTCCGCTAGAATGATTGGACAAATCAAGCTTCGGGTTTACTATTTGAAGTGATTTTAATCTCAATTGTACGAAATAATAAAACGTTTATTTTTAAAGAGTATAATCTCTTCACCTAAATTCATTCGTCTATTTCGCTACACTCGCGAGATATTCCATACTGGTTCTTTATATTATGTACAGCAGAAACGCAGGTAACGCACAGACATTTTTTTCAACTTCGAACAAGTGTATCTAGAGAATGGTTAGAGTCCTAACCGTATAACCGTTTAGATTTTATGAGTAAAATACTAGCCTGAAACGCACAGACAAAAAAGCCCTCGGTTTTTAGTAGGTGTGTAATTACTGATAAATGCTGCGAATAGCTTCACGCTAATGAATTTTGCAAACAAGGGTTTTGTAGCTTAGATTCAGGAGTATCTTTGACTGAAGAGAAAATATGAATATCATGAAAAATGAGTGAGCTATTAGCAAAATTAAAAGTAACGTACAGACACTTTGGTAACGCATAGATACGCTTTTTTAGAAAAAATGTCTGTTCCGAGCGAATTTTATATCAATCAAACTATTTATTTATTAAAAAATAGTTGATCATGGGTAATTTGATATACTGATCATGATTCTGAAGTTTATTTAGCTTGAAACTCACGTTTGGGTTGGAAATTTGAATATCAGGCCCAAAAAATACCAATCGAAGATATTCGATCCAGATAATTCTGAGGACACTATTGTGTAGAGCACATAAAATTACCCATGCATTCATTCGAAAAAAGTAATTCATAGTAGAATATGAATTTTTACGAGGTGCATATTGATTATGTTGAGTGACAACAGGAAAAATGTCTGTTTGTTACCCAATTTTCAGAGTCAAAGAAAAGAGATGAAGGGAAACCAATTAGCTCATCGGATAGCCCGTAAAAATTTGACGATAGGTCATTGATCAAAATTAAGAAAACTGTTTTAATCTCATGATGCGATAAACTAAGAGCCCTTTTTGGTAACGCACAGACATGAAAAATATGACGGTTTTTAGTTCGTTTTTTCGAAACAAAACATTGATCTAGAAAAATTCAATGTAGCCATAAAGAAAGTCCGAACATTTTTCTACAAAATGCTACGTGACACTTCATGTTTACTCCTTTATTTCTGTGTCCCTCATTTACATTTTGAGAAGCACTTCCAAATCAAGCCTAGACCCTGGTGACCAGTAATCAGTTTCGGTCATATTTCCAGCCTTACTTATGCTGTCGAACCAATCCAAATATAGTTTCTTATTCAGAAAAGTGTGTTTTACAAGATGGCATAGTTTGTTTTGAAAACAAAACAACTTCTACTTCAATCATGTTGGTTGACCGTTAGCCGCTTTGGCTGTGTAGGATGTTTGATGAAAAATTTAATTTATAAATAATGAATTGATATATGGCCACATTTATACAAGGATATCAAATTTCAATACATACTTTTCTGTTTAAGTTTATTCAATTCTCTTCCTATGCAGTAAATTTATTCAATTAAATATAAATGTATTCAAGTATAACAAATATTAATAGAATAAATAAAATAATCATACAATAATAAATGATAAGGTGTTACAGGTTAAAATAAAAACAAATAAGTTATAAATTGTAAATTTTTATATTATATTATATTTGATTTTGTTTGTTGACGTTCCGGTCAGATTAGACCTTCTTCAGAACGTTGTTGCATAAAGGTGGTATTCTTTCGTTTGTATGTATTTTCTTTTATCTGTTCTTTGATGATAGTGGTAAGGAAGGACAAGACGGTAATACTGGTAGGAAACCACACCTATGCTTCCTAGTCCGTACCGTTATCATCAAAGAACAGATAAAAGAAAATACATACAAACGAAAGAATACCACCTTTATGCAACAACGTTCTGAAGAAGGTCTAATCTGACCGGAACGTCAACAAACAAAATCAAATATAATATAATATAAAAATTTACAATTTATAACTTATTTGTTTTTATTTTAACCTGTAACACCTTATCATTTATTATTGTATGATTATTTTATTTATTCTATTAATATTTGTTATACTTGAATACATTTATATTTAATTGAATAAATTTACTACATAGGAAGAGAATTGAATAAACTTAAATAGATTATTATGACCTTCATTAACCGATTTCAATACTGTTCTATTTTGAAATTTCTGATCTTTCGAAATTTGAAGGATACGGATATGTATCAAAATATTATTTAAAGCTAGTTATTGGGAAATTCAAACTAGCTCATTGAAATCATTTGAGATTCTCAGTAGCACTGTATTCCCTAGACTGAAAGGATAGGGTCTGGAAATGGTAATTCACCTGTGTCTGTCTGTCCGTCTGTCTGTCTGTAACAAACTCCAAAATAACCATTTCCATGGCACAAATGACCAATTCTATGGCACAATTGGCCATTTCCATAGCGCGTATCATTGATGAATCCACTGAGGCACCACACCGAACAGTTATTGCTAATGATGAAGAAGCGAAGGGGCAGGGTGTGGGTGTTCCTGTAAGGAATTATGGTGCCTCCGTCGCTAAATTTTCGAATGGTGTGATCCATTTGCTAAGTGAAACTCAACCTCGTTCCCATGTGAAAAATATTCAAGCCCTCTAACGAGAACTGTTAACAGTGTATTCTATTAGTGAGGAGATTGAGAGCTCCCCCTCCCACTATCAGAAGAAAAATCTTGGTTCAGCCACTGTTTCGCACACGTATTGCACGCTTATTCTGACTGTGCTTTTCTATTCATTGTTTTTGGAAATTTTTCATTTTCGTCTGATTGGTACCCAACTTTCACTTATTCGCCCTTTGTCTTCCTTGTTTTGGTTGAACTTATCCAGTCATCTTTTTTGGAAATTTCAAGATCTGTGGTTAAAACAGCCGACGAAGTGGGCTGTTCATATATTTGCATGTGTGAGTTCTGTCAGTCTAGGTTCCAGTGAATCGACTTTCGATTCACGTTACTTGTACTTTCGATTCTGCATTAAACAATCCAAAAGTTGAACAGTGAGAAATTCAAGAAAACATAGTTCAAGTAATATTCATCTTCTCAGAAAAGATGGACGTCTTCCATTCAAGAACAACAGGTTACGATTAGGTGAGCACTTTGTCGTAGTTTTAGTAATTGTTGGTACGTATACTCGAATATTGAACTTCTTCTGTTGCGTATTAAGATCTGTCGTGTATCAACGACTTTCAAACAAAATAATATCCATTCCAACTTTAGTCAGAATTATAAAACGGATTTGGGTGGGTGGGGGAGGGGGGAGCATTTAGAATTCAGTCAATGAACATTTATGCACACATTCTAGATCTTTGCGCGCAGTTTGTCTAGCATAATTTTGCCATTCATTCACTTTAGATTACATGTTCAAATGGTTATTTAAAAAAAAAGAGAAGGAATATGATGCTATTTGCGTCTCATCTTCTAGAAGAAAGATTCGTCCGCCTCATGTCAGCTGGAAGCATTCATGGGCACAAGCCGAAGCACAAAATTCATTAGCTAGATCTCCATTCAATCGTATTCCTACTGAGATTCTCTTACGCATATTTCAATTACTTTCCGTTCCTGACCTATGCAACGTGTCACTCGTTTGTCGATTGTTCAAAATGGTTGCGGATCAAAATGACATTTGGAAATTAAAATGCAATAGTAAGAATGTTTGATCTCTTTTTCTTATTTCTAGAATGATCTTTTCAAAATATATAATAGCTTCAACGAAGTTATATTCAAAATCATTCAAACAAACTTACATGGATTGGATGTACGAGAAATATTTACGAAATAAAGAACTAAAACGGAACTTAGCGGATATGAGGCATTTTAGTCAACTAGCATGCGTCATACGCCCATCGCAAAGCTATCTGGCTCGACTTATGGCCACACATCCAATTGACCCTGCTCGTGGTTTTAGTCAACACCCGAATTCTTCATCATATATGTAAGATAGTTCAACTATTTTTATAATGGTGCATGTTGCATTTATTATTTGAGATATGTTCACGCTTATCAGATAAATATAAGTTCGAATATGATTGGTTATCCCTAAGAGCACCCGGGAAAAAATTCAAAAAAAGCGCGGTCAACCGCAGATTTTTAAAATTACCGCGGTTTTCTACGTCGGAGTCGTATCACATATCCAACAATTTGGAGAAGTGAGCACTTCTCCAAATTGTTGGATATGTTACACTGCTCTCGGTTTCTGAGAAAAATCAAATCGAACTTCTTCGAACTGTTCACTATTCAACAATAGTAGTTTACTTATGGAATATTTTAACGAATGCCTGTGTTCGGAAATTCTACGAGAAAGACATTTTCCTTCGTTTCGGTATCCAATTCAGTATTTTTAATACTTTGGTTTTCCAAGTAATACAGTCTTGATTTAGTCTAAAATATTCTTTTTCTACTGATCCTATTTTGACACAAGAATTTCTATCGTTTGATATAGATAAAACATATGCTTTCTCAGAGAGTCAAAAAATAAAACTTTGTTATCAATAGTGTGAGTAAGTATTTTATCTCATTTGAAACAATGTTGTATATATAAAATCGATTGTGTTCGAATTTTGAACGAATCCGACTAATAATTCCAGCGACTTAATGCTACACGCTGACACCCGTTCAATGTAAGAGGGAAACCCATCCAACTGTTGAAATCAAAAGCTAAAATTGAAATTTTACAGTAAAAGCTCTTGTTGACTTCTATCATATGAATCTATTGAATAGTAAAAATATGCCATCTATAGTTTTAGCAATTTTCTCTTGAGAAATTTCTATCAGATCTGCAATTAATCTTGTACAATTTAAAACAATTTATCAACATTTTCCTAAAACTTGGCAAATAAAAAACTAATTTTAGAGAATTTGTCTCGTGATGAATTTGATAAGTGTGACTTGGTTTAAAAGGTTAGAATAATGCTGTATAAGAAAAAGTTACATTGATATGTCAGCAAAAGTAAAGCTATGAAATAAATTCTGTTTGATAAATAATGCTGATGTTTTCTTATTATCTCAGGACGATCACATTGTCGGTCGATATTCACAACACAACCCATCAACTCATATCACTTTTAGAGAAAGTATCCAAATACCAGGATAAATGGTATCAATCTGCTATATTGAAACAAATGATAACAAGATATTATCGATTTATGCAATTAAAAGCCATTTATTTGCCCAATGTTTTGCTGGTTCCTACTCTTGATATTGAAATCATTTGGCAAACACATTTACTTCGACCGGAAATGTATCGAGCGGATTGTCTGCGTTTATTTCGTCAGGTGGTCGATCATTCATTGTTGGCAACAGATACTCAACAATTTAAAAAAAAACAAGCATTTATAGAGACATGCCATTTTTATGAAGAGCGATTTGGTGAAAAATATTGTGAATTGCCATCAAATAAACATGGTCGGAAGTCAACCTCGAATCATTCATATGGTGAGGACGAGTTGAACAATCAGTCCAAAAACGCTTACTCGTATTGGGATGAAACGTTTTTTGAATTTTCATCGAATCGGCCAAAACAATATGAAAATCCGTTTTCATTTACTGAAGCCGAAATTATTCTTGATGGCCATTGGCTCGATTTATGTAAAAAATTTATGTATGATTCACTGGAACGAGTTTCTATTGATGACTACTACGACAGATCACGCGACTTTATTGATCTTGTAACTGGATCTATGGAACGTTTAAAAAAATCTTACGAACGATTTTTATATATGTCAGCGAAGCATCCTTTGAAAGATAGCGAAGATTTTGTGCCACCGACATATGCGGTAAAATTTCTATTAACAAATAGAATACTGTTATTCAATGAATATATTTACACGGTTTTAGATAGACATCATGTGGCATGCACATATGCAAGAACCATTGAAATATGAAGCTGATTGTCTTCGACTTGTTGGCTATGTTATTCCTCATTCGCCATGGCCGATCATTGAGGACGAAAAAATGAAGAAAAAGAGCAACAGAACGGATCAGATGTGGCAAGAAGAATTTCAAAGTGAAATTTCAACCGATCATCTCTATCAGAGATGGGCAAGTCTATCCATCTTTGACTTGGATCACGTAGAGTCAAGTCAGAATTCACTTGACTTGACTTCGAAATTTTAAGAAATGGCGCGACTTGACTTAAATTGGCTCCGAATTTACTTGACTTAATGGTATGGGTGTGGGTGTGGGTATGCTTGTGCTTGCGCGTGTGAATTTTTATGCGTGTCATTTTATGGTTTAGTCTTGATCCACACCCACACCCGCACACCCCAATTTTACATGTTATTCACAAATGAAAATTTTCGTGTCTGACATTGCTGAGAGAGGAATAGGCGAAATTTAGAAAAGTTTTCCTTCCATATAATTGAATAATGATTATCTCATGTGATAGAGCTTAAGATTCTGATTACAACCATATGCTGGAAGTCTATTACAATTTATAATTTAGTGAAATAGGATTGACCTCTTAATATCATAGACTTGTCACATATAGCATGGGATCCTATCCCCGAGTTGACTTTGTATATGACTAGATCAAGTTCATGAAAAGAAAATATTTTCTAAATTTCACCTATTCCTCTCTCAGGAGTGTCAGACACGAAAATTTTCATTTGCGAATGACATGTAAAATTGTACAGGATCGTTTTGCTTCAGAGAATTCACTCGACTACAAGCATTATTCAGTGCTTTCCGATTGATGCATACGTGTTTTTCTTTTAATTTTTTTGTGATTTTGTAGAGAACCAAAAGTTACATAACATATGAAAAATTGTGTCTGGGATCTCTTGATCGAAAACAAAAACTATAGCAAATATACTGCGAAAAATTAATTGTCAAAAACTCATTCATTGTGTCAACTTCAACGTTTGTTGGGTTATTTAACCTAACTGAACTGATAATATGTAATATTTTAAATATCGTTTTTTTTCAGTTACTGATGGCCTATCTTTTGACATACTCTATAGGAGGTTTGAATGATATGCTACAATGTAAAAAGGCATCATTTTTGAGGGCTGGCAAAGGTCCAAGAAATGTCCACATTACCAAAAGTCCGCTGGAGAGTAGAGCGACTTTACTAGTCGGACAAAATATTACCAAATTTAACGCAAACTAATATTATCCATCAGTATCGCACTTCTTAGCGAACCTTTCTATTTCTAATGGGACTTTTGTTTTTATTCAGCGGACTTTTGTGGTACTTTGCTATTCGACTGCGTCACTTTTCTCTAAGTCAACGGACTTTTGTCTTCTCTATTGATGACTATTATTTCTTAGTCAACGGACCTTTCTATTTCTAATGGGACTTTTGTTTTTATTCGGCGGACTTTTGATATGTTTAATGGACATCAAGCGTAACGTTTCCCTTCTTAGAAGAACTTTTCGTGTTTTAATAATGCATCTTCAATTATGTTAAGGGGACTATTCTATTCATCAGCTGAATTCACTTTGTCCGAAGAGGGTTTTTAGAAAATTTCATCAACACCATGTGTTCATGAAATTGTGTTCATAGTAGCGCATTTCTCTTTGGAATCAGTTTTAGTTGTTTTGTATTAAAAGAAAGATTATCTTTTGACATCGAAGAGTTTATTTGTCATTAGCTTTGGTAAACAAAGTTAGGCTGAGATGAATTAACGGTGAGTCTTGTGTGAAGTAAATTTGATTTAGAATGTTATCTTTGCTTTTCTACAATAAAAATTAGTTTAACAGAGTTAAAAGTGAATTCATTGTTGGGAATAATACGGACTGTGCTTACTTAAATATTCTTTTAAAAGCTGTTGTGGAGTCATTGGAATTGGAAGCCTATAAGTCGTATGATCTATTAGTTTGGCTCGAGTTAAATCAATTGAAAGAGATGTTCACGAAAGAATAATAAAATGATTATTATGAAAGGCAACCAGTAGAATCAATTGATATTTAAAAATTTGTCGATTACTTTCTCATTACAATCTGTACAATGCGTAATGTGCAGATCATTTTTATTATATTTGATCGAATACTTCACGATTATTCGACTGATTTCTTTATATCACTTTATTAATAATTGTTAAAAAAATGGTACTATAGTGAAGAGGGTTCAGTTTCTATAGACTAGTAAGACAATAAAAACTTTTTGTGGATGAATCATGTTTTTTTCTTCTTTTTAGAAGCATGCTGTGCTAAAATAGATTTCACTTGAGTAGTCCAGTTTGTTGTTGTCGACGATGGACAATGATTAGACAGCTTCTGTAAAGGCTCATTCATTGATTGTCTTTTTCTTTTCTTTTTCAGGTGTACACTTTGTTAAATTGTCTGCTACAATTTTGTTCGATTGGTTGGTTGAAGATGAAGTGCTTGATGCAAGAATATTCGACGCTTCTAGTAGTGATATTGAATCGGCTGTGTGCATCAGACTAATGGTGGGTTCATGTGGAACTTGATTGACCTGTGAATATATTAAAACGTATTCAATTATGTAAATAAATTGGTGTAATATAATTTACTGACAATGTTAAATACAGAACTGGACTTAATGTTGGTTGCGATCAAGTTCTTATGATGAAATATTATTAGAAGAAACATCGACGCTCTTTTCCACCCAAGACTACTGATAATCGATGCATAACCTTTAAGCCAACTGAATAGCTGTTCTGCAGCTTGAGTATTTATATTTTCCAGAACTGAAAATGCAGCAAATGTAACAAAAAAAGGAATTTCAAAAATAGAAGAAGCATACGTGGATTCTTGTCCGGGTTCATATTAGCACGACACCAAGATCCAACGTGATTGCGAAAGTATGTTCTATCTACACTAAATTTGATCTGAGAAAGTGCCTTTGCAGCATATGTTTCAGCTAGATCTTTTCCAATATGTTTATGTAGATATTCAATCAAATGACAACCGTCATCATAAACAGCCGTCTTAGGCACTACTCCAGATACTAAAATGATAACGATGATAGTTTAATTTCAATAATCGTTCGGTGCTAAAAGATCATACCCTTTATGCTATTCGTTAATAACTGTAGTATTTCTTTTAGAGTCTCCGTTCTAAAAAATTCACCAAACGTAGTTACAATACAACAGTTAGTTACAGCTGCTATTACACCAAAACTTCGTGCACATTTACGTACATAAGAATCACCTCTTGCCTTGCTAGTACAGCAACCTGTGGCACCAAAATGTTTTTCTTTTTGTGACCTTCTTGTCTTCCAACTTCGAATATGTGAAGAAATAACAAGCTCTCGGCTATTTTTCTGTTTGTTATTGTCAGTTTCTGGATGTTTATGAAGATGAAGTTCACAATATTTAGAATAACGAAGTGGAGTACGACAGCATCCCACAATCATTTTTTCAAACAAATCAGTTTTTATTTCAATTTCCTTTGCTTTACAAACACGACGTCGACACTTTTGATGCCCATCAACCACTAAAGCTTCTGAGCATTTATTTCCAGTGCACGGTCCTAGTATTTCTTTGTGTCGAGA